ACAGACTCAGGGTCCAGATAAAAGACAAGACATTAACTGTTAAGCCCCAAAGACCCCGTCGGCGGGTCCTTTTTTTTTCCCCACAAAATTAAAGAAAAAAAAATATATATATATATTTTTTTTTTTTCTTTGGATGGAATGATAGACCCTCCAGAAAAACGTGATTATGCGATCGCATAATTTACCGCATAATCAGCAAAATGGCGCAGATTTTTAAAAGGGCGCATATTTATTAAAAGGTCGCATAATCCCCGCATTTTTCCACACAAAGTTGAGGGAAAAAAAAGTTAACGTGAAGTAGTGATGTCATCAGCTCGCGCAGGTAAACAACACCGTAGAGTGAATGTGTGGAACTCACACGAGAGAGAAAACAACAAGATCAGCGCCATATAGATTATTATATACTATTATACTATTATTATTATATACTATTATACGGCTCTGACCAAGATGAAAAAATCGAATCCATCTCATTTGCCTACGAACATTTCTGCTAAAGACCGGGCAAAGCAGTACCCCGATGTCTTGCACGAAAGTGGGGAGAAACTATTCTGCACCCCGTGCAACTGTGTGTTGGAGCATAAGAGAAAACGTTGATTCATTCAAACATTCGAAAATGCTTTCTGCTGCTGCGGACAAGAAAGCCAAACAACTCGCGTTCACCGAGGCATCAACCTCCAAAACCCTTTCGAGGGCTACAAGAAACGAGGTGAGTAGCCTACAAGATTGAAGCTGGTCAGATAACCAACGAGTAAATGAAAACAGAATGAGGCGGAGAAGAGTGTGTGTGTGTGTGTGTGAGAGAGTGATTAAAATAGCCCATATATAAATACATAAATAACACTTTGTGATGTAGCTTGCTTCTAGTATGCTTGTTTATCATAGGAACTCTTTAAAGGGCTCACTTTCATTCAGTAGTAGCCTAGTAACAGGGTGTGGGAGAAGAATCACCTTTTTTCCGCTTCCCGCATATTTTGCAACTTTTCGCATATTTAGCATATTTCCGCATATTTCGCAACTTCACCCATAAAATCACATAAAAACCCCGCATGTTTAATCGCATAATCAAGGATTTTAGCCCGCATAATCAAGGATTTTAGCCTGCGTTTTTCTGGAGGGTCTAGAATGAATACCTATGGTGATAATTCAATGTAATACATCATTTTTATAGTCTGGTACCTGAAAAAGGTCAAATGGCACTGATGGAACCAGATGTAACCAAATGTGCCGAAAGCTTATTCCGCCTGGAACTTTTTTTTGCTAAACAAATTTCAAATTTCACTTGTTTTGCCTCAATCTTGATACAGGGTACTTATATGTTATAGTTTGGATTCCTAAAGCTTTTAGTCTACCATCCCATCATTCAAGGGTGGTTTTCACTATAAGTAATGTTTTTTCTTTAGGCGGAGGTAAGAATTTACCTTTTTTTGCTATGTTCCATCTGAATTTACTCTGACTGAGAAAAATCTATATTGATTCTGACACTTCTACATCCAACTCACAGATGTAACCTTGCTTTGATAAAATAAATTATTCATATAACCCTTTTAGAAGTTAAGTTGTAGTCATTTGTTTTGGGCATGTCATTTTCGAGCCTGTAACCTGAAAAACAGGCTCGGGGCTTAACAGGTTAAATAGATAAAAGACAAGGCATTACATATAATAAATTACATACACAGCATAACAAAAATTCATATTTTAAGAATAATTTAAATCAGTGTCCTACAAAGAGACAACTATATCAATGTCTCCACAGCTGTGATTGGTCACAACCTAGCAAAGCAAAATAATTGTTTTTTTCGATTATGTTGTTTTCGTAATTGTGGGAGGCCAAAATCGTAATTGCGATTAAAATACGATTAATTGCACAGCCCTATTATAAGCTACTTGAAGTTTCCGTAAACTTGCTTTTCTGTAGTTTGACCACAAATGTGCAGTATAGAGTGGTGTACAATATGCTCTGAACAGAGACATCTTCACTCCATCTGTACATGCACTAAACTTACGTAGGAGAATGTTTGCTTGTGCATACATCATGCGGCATTGCCTATAAATATCTTCATCATCTGTCATTTGTTCCAAGATATTTTAACTTATTACAGACACTAAGATTAATATCAGACAATTTAAAATCAGGACATTTTAGACATTTATCCTCTTTGGTTCTAAAGATCTTGACAGCACTCTTACTGGCGTTGTATTTGATGTCATGTTCCACACCATACACAGAACAAACAGCAAGAAGCTGCTGAATGGACCAGGATTTATCCTTTAACGCCCACATACAATTAATCTCACAGACTTTCATCTGCGTAACATTGCAAAAATCAGGCATATCTTGCCTCAAAACAATGCAGAGAAACTAGTCCATGCATTTGTTACTTCAAGGCTGGATTATTGTAACTCTTTATTATCAGGGTGTACCAAAAAGTCAGTTAAGTCGCTTCAGCTGATTCAAAATGCTGCAGCACGTGTACTAACCAGAGATAGGAAAAGGGACCACATTACTCCTGTTCTGGCTGCGTTACACTGGCTCCCTATAGAACACAGGATAGAATTTAAAATTCTTCTTCTCGCCTACAAAGCCCTTAATGGGCAGGCGCCATCTTACCTTAAAGAACTCATTATACCCTACTGTCCTACTAGGGCATTGCGTTCCAAGAATGCAGGGTTGTTGGTTGTTCCTAGAGTCTCTAAAAGTACAATGGGAGCCAGAGCCTTTTCTTATCAAGCTCCACTTTTGTGGAATCAGCTTCCAGTTTGTGTTCGGGCGGCAGACACCCTATCCGTTTTTAAAAGTCAGCTTAAGACCTTCCTTTTTGATAAAGCTTATAGTTAGGGCTGATTAGATTCAGCCCCTAGTTTTGCTGCTATAGGCTTAGACTGTCGGAGGACACATTACATTACATGTTACTTGTTAGACGCTTTTATCCAAAGCGACTTACATACTCAATACTGTGGACAATCCCCACAGGAGCAATTTGGGGTGAAGTGTCTTGCCCAGGGACACAACGACATGCTGACAGCAGTGGGATTTGAACCTGTGCTCCCCTGATCCGAACACCAACGCACAACCCACTGCGCCACACACCTTACTTCTTCCTTCTCTCTGTCTGTACCTGTTATACATGTTCAGAATAACGCAGCTTCCCCGAAATGTCATTTTGGTGTCTGTCTAAGCCGGGATCCTGAGTCGTGGCTGATCCTGTTGCTGTGGACCTGAGTCCTGGATCCTGAGTCGTGGCTGATCCTGTTGCTGTGGTCCTGAGTCCTGGATCCTGAGTTGTGGCTGATCCTGTTGCTGTGGTCCTGAGTCCTGGATCCTGAGTCGTGGCTGATCCTGTTGCTGTGGTCCTGCCTGGGTCTCGTTATGCTGCTTCCCTGATGGCTCCCACAGGATTGTTGACATCCTCCTGAATTCATCTTATTATTATTATAGGCACATGCATTTCCAAACATTTGGACTACCTATGTTGTAAAATGTATTATCTTTTCAATTTACACACGGCATCTATTGCACGTCTGTCCGTCCTGGGAGAGGGATCCCTCCTCTGTTGCTCTTCCTGAGGTTTCTCCCATTTTTCCCTTTAAACTGTGGGTTTTCTTTGGAAGTTTTTCCTTGTACGATGTGTAGGGTCTAAGGACAGAGGGTGGCGTATTGTCATACTGATATTCTTTACTAACTGTGAAGTCCACTGAGACAAATGTAAAATGTGTGATATTGGGCTATATAAATAAACATTGATTGATTGATGGACTGATCAGTGATTGGTTTGTTGTTAATTAGTAGGAGCAGCTCTTACAAAATATGAATAAAAAGCTATTAGCAATAAACGTCATGCTAATTAAATCATGAAAATGGTTTGTCATTGACACGTCGAAAGGCTTTTAAAATGGCTATCATAATTGGTAATTACATAATTATATATAACTAAGGAGAATTATAGCCAGTTAGAGGTTAGCAGTAATCACTCGTTCAAGTTAAACATAGATTCAAAATGAAATACGAATACAAATTAACTCAAATAAATTGTGTGTGTGTGGGGGGGTCGATGTGTCTTTGTTCAAACTTAATTGTTATCGCTTAAGTGAGAGGAAGTCAGTCACTCCGTTGTTTACCTTGCAAATACTGAGCTACTGGGGCCTGCAGTCGCTCAGTCTGTAGGGACTTGGCTTGGGAACTGAAGGGTCGGCTGTTCAAGTTTCGATTGGACCAAAACATAAGGAGTCTGGACTGGTAGCTGAAGAGGTGCCAGTGCACCTCCTGGGTACTGCCAAGGTTTCTGTGAGCAAAGCAACGAACCCCCAACTGCTCCCTGGCGCCTCTGTAAAAAATGCATGTGGATTATTAAAGGGTCATCTTCTCATTTAGCTCAACTTGCTTTTGGCTTGTTTTGTTGCAAAGTCTAGCTGGCTGTGTGGAGCCTCTGCTTGCACAACCAGGAATATTCGATTGGGACACATTGCTCCTTCTGCTGTAGACAAATGGAGAGAATATTTGACAAGTTTATTCACGCACTGCAAAACTATGGTTGCCAATCCTTAGCCTGACTCCTAAGACAGCAGTGACGAACACCACCCTCAGGAGAGAGGGTGACAACCAAAGCATGTAGCATGATGAGGCATGTTGGTGTCTCACTGGTGCCAATGTTCAGTAATGGAGCGTGCAATACATTACCATAAAGACAAAGTCCCCTGTCTTTCTGTACTGCTTTAACCTGTTGATATGTCTTGCTATGTTATACAGTATATATCTTTTGCTTTATAGATCACCATTTCCAGTTCCTCATTGTTGCATATTTTTAGTGATTGTATTAACTTTGTGTTTTAACTTGAGATTTGTTGCCAAAGTGTAAAGAGTGCCTGACTGTGCTACTTCCCTGAAGTAATAATGTACCAGGCCGGGTACTATCAACACTCATCACCAAAAACTGTAAAAAGAATTAGGATGTGTTCATAACTGAAACGTATATACACCAATATGATAATGCAAACAGACATACAAGTTATGGGAGTGATTTATTTCAGGATGCAGGTTCAGTGCATTAGGCTTCCTGATTAGGACACACAATTGTTTTAATAGCAAAAATTAAAAGATCAAACAAGCCCATCAGAAAGAGAAAAATAACATAAGAAAACCAGTGTGGTCAAAATTGCATGGTCGTGCCATCAGGTGTGAAACTTTCACTAATATATTGGAATATCATAATTCCTAATTACCCCTTTGTTAAGGTTAAGGGCACTGATACATGACGACACATCACTAGAGAACTAAGAACAAGTTGAACATGAGCAGAATATGTACAAAAGATGAATTAAGGTGTAAATGAGAACAAGTGAACGTTAACTGCTGTTTGTATCAAAGACAAGGCGAACCAAAGGGTGGTCTTGGTGGTAATGGTAGCACTGTAAGTCTGTCGGGGCCTTTCATTTGAGTCTGTAGACAGATGCTGTGCAGTATATGTCGACAGCACTTCTTACATCATTAGTGCAAACAAACAAACAAAAAACTTCAGCAAAAGGCAACAGAAAAAATAACCAGTGTGTACACATATTGAGAAAAACTTAGTGTATCAAAAATATCCATATACATAGTTGTCACTGTGTAGTTGTGAGTATCTTTATAAGATGAGGACTTTTTCTCCAGTTAACGATGAAGATCATCAAATTATCTTGCTCATGAGATTATACTGAACGAGTTGAAAATGGATACATGTGAAGCAGGCAATGGCGTTGAGGAAATTGGATACAGTGAGAATTTTTCAAATTCAGTAAACTCAGTGAGGATTTGCTGCAAAAATGGTGTATTTTGGTAGTAGTGTAAAACACTCGCACACATGTCAAAGGGAATATGTACAAAGTGGAGATTGTTCATATTTACATATTTACATTTACAACAAACCAAACCTTTAAGGAGACATGATTGAACATCGGGCTATGCCTAATATAGGCTGATCAACTACACCTTCCTTCCATGGTGGCGTTTGACTCCAGGGTGACAAGTCCGCTTTAACATACCCAGAAAGAGTGTGTGGGGGAAATAAATAAAACTTGACAACGGGTAATGTCACTGAGCAGATAAATATCTGCCATTTTAGGCACCATGGGACAGACGTTGAGCTCCTAAAAAGGTAGTGCTGATTTAAAACACCACACACAACTTAATATCTGAGTTACAAATGGGAAAACATTTATTTGGATGAAGTGGGATCTGGGAAAACTGTTAATGCTCTGTGGACATACTCCCCTGTGAGTAGGAATTTTAAAAAAGTGCAACACTGCCCTCTTGTGTTTGCATACTTACACTCCTCATATGCAAACGTACAAGGGCTTATCATATCCTACATTCCGTTGGGAGACCATTATTGCCTGTGAAGAGAGAGTTTCTATCATGTGTGGTAAAGAAAGAGGGAGAACAACGAGGTGGGAAGAGTCTTTTTTCTAATGTTTTTTTATGATAGATTTTACTATCCTAATGCTTAGAAAATCATTTTATAAAATCTGTCGTCGGCCACTTTACCTACAGTGGCTCTTGGTAATGGAAACCAGTGCAGTGAGTCATGCGGCTTGATTTGAGTGTCTACTAAGTGAGAGACAACATACACACAGATTCTCATAAACACAACTGAGCAAGTGTCCTTTGCGGTGACCACCACCGTCCCACCACCACCACCACTCCCAAACAAAAATAAAACACAAGGAACCCAACAGAATTACATCCAAAGCAGGAGTTGTGCGGAGGTGTAGTGTCCCAAGAAGAGGCGGAGGGAAAGGAGGAAAAGGAGGAAGGCTGAGTGGAGTCCCTGTGTTCGTTAGCCAGCTAAGCTATGCTTGCTCGTTAGCATTTTACCATGGCAGCTATCAGCTGGTCAGGTAACTATGTAGTTCTCTGGAGTTGATGCTCAGGACCACACCGGAATGGTTACCTAGCAACAAAAGAGGAGAAGAAACAGGACACAGACAAACAGATGAGCAATGCTGAAGAATACAAAGTGCAAACCATTTTCACTATGACAGACTGTGGACATTTTACAGCAACAGTAAAAAGTTGCTTTCACTTAGATCCATCAGTAAAAATGCCATATAGAGAAATACTGAATATCAATACAAATAAACATTTTTGCATACTTGAAAGCATTTAGTTGCATATATACTTGCATATGAAATTAGAAATATCCATAATTGAATAATTGATAGTTATGAGTTCGTTATGAAATACATTTCAATTTGACCAAGCTGCCATCAGTTTCAAAGCGTTCTGAATGAAAGGAATTACAAATATATTTAGCCCATTTAGTGTCAGGATCTCCTGTTTTGGGTATTCCGCATGGATATGAAACAATCACATGATATCACATAGTTACGATATGTATGAATGTGCTTCAAAATGCAGATGATGACCATATACAGTAGTGCCTTGGGAGTAACATTTGCAAAAGTTTGAAATATTGAAATATGAGTTTAAAACCCAAAAGGCTTTTAGCTGTACCAATAAAAGGATAAAAAAGGGGAAAGTCCTGTACCTTGTTGTGTGTTAGCTGCTGGTGTTAGTGGCTTGGGTTTTAGTAGCAGTGGTTAGTGGTAGTCCTTATAAGCGAACGGAAGGCGGGGCTACCTCCTGCGTTACCTAGAGTCTGCGAGTCCAGGTCGTCGTCGATGAACTCCTCCCCCTGGATGATGTGCTGTGTGTCCTCGCTGTGATTGACAGGGCTGGTCATCTCCTGCTCCTTCTCATTGCGCATCTGCGCGTAGACATTGCGGTTGCCCGGGAGCTTCCTGAAAAAAAGTGGGGGATAAGCATCCTCAGTCCTAAGCCAAGGACTTTGGAAAATTGTTGTTTTCGTAAGATGGGGCTGTAGTTTCGCACTGCATGTTCTAATTCAAGTGACTTTTTGGGGGACGTTTGTGTTTGGGAAGGTGATGAGGTGCTGCATCAATTCAAAAGATGCACAAAACTCTGTGCAGATCAGAAAGAGAGACGTTGTCATGCTGATAGGAGGAGCTATAACTGCTAACAATATGATTAAATGTGAGCGAAATGACATGAAATAAAAGTGTTATTGCGAAAAATGCAATGATGAAACAAAACAGGCTTTTGAAAGGGGCCTTTAGTGATCATCCGCTGGTCCTCTGAGGCATGTTGCTCCTTATCCACAGTAATCTCCATGATCTCAATCACATTAGACTGAACTTAATTTAAATCCTACTGTTTTGGAGAAGTGTAATCGGATCAGGGAGAAACGAGCCTGCGATGGAAGCCCAACAATGTTTCTCCCTCTGCCTCAGTACGTCCTCCAGCCTAGCAGAAGACATCCTCTTCCTCAAATCCAGTGACATATTGTTTTGCCATGGTTGTTTCCAGTCAAAGTAGGTTTAATGGGTAGGTGGCCAAGTTTGTTTGACAGTACTGTTTCACTAACCATCTTTTACAAGTAATTTAACTCACATACGGTATATCCTACATGTTCAAGAAGCTCAGTTTACATAGTGTGGCACAGTGGATCTCAAAAGCTCCCTCTCAAAGTGACTCCTGTTGTGACCTAGAAACGCATGCTCATGCTATGTGGTACGTAGTGGGCTGGAAAAAGAAAGACACACACACCCACACAAAGTTACGCAGCCATGCACAACCACATACTTTATTTTGCTTTCCTTCGTTTAGTTTGATTCATATCTTTAATAAGTCTTAAATAAATGCTTTTCGGTATAAACATGCCCAACTGTTTACTGTTATGGTTTTAGGGTGTCTACCATGCAAAGAACTCCAAATCCCTCAATATTTTTGGTTGTATTAAGTAATTTAATTATTAATCAGAGTTCAGAATTGATCATTTCCAATTTTAGACGGTTTTTGAATATCAATTACATTAATTAGTAATAAGATTCCCTGATTTCACAGTGCTATCCCTTGAGGTAATTCAATGTAAATTAAATTATATTATTCTTCATAATCAATCATGTATTGGCATTACCTCATTTTGATGCCCCATCATTATCAATACCTATGAATGATTGTACCGATATACAGTAGATATTAATAATATATATCTATAGCTCATAACCAGAACTGCTCCTACCAGTTCCCAACACAAAACATGGCTCACCTTTTGAACTTGTAGAGGATGAAGGAGCCGGTGGCGATCATGCCGATTAGGAAGATGGCTGCTAGAGCCCAAACACCCGGACTTCCAGCGGCTCCACGGTAGCCTGCGGTGATGATTACACAGATAAATAGTTAAATACCGCATCATGTTTGCAGTAAGAAATAATTCTGGTTAATTTTTACTATAGAAATCCCAAAAGATATGGAAGAAGCTCTTTAGGCAATAACTGCAGGAGCGAAGGGACAGAATTGGTAGGAAGAAAACATCCAAATGAAATAGCGTTTCTTATGTTTTTGTTGTAGAGCGCACCGTTAGACCATTCTCAACTCAGCTCAAAGGATGATCAGGTGACTGAAAAAGCACAGGACAGTACAGACAGACTCAAACTGGATTTGGAATTTTTAGGAAACCAGGAAAGGAAAAGGCACAGGAATTAGAGCGCTTTGAGGTAAAGCCGCAGGTGTAGAGTTCATGAACGCACCAGTCTTTGCTTCTGTAGTTGTTGAGTCATTAGCATTTAGACCTAGCCCTTGGACAAAATCAATAACATGTAATTATCAATAAAAACCTCATAAACGGTAGTCATATAGAGCAGACAATATAGAAGGTGATGCAAATAGCATTTAAATATACAATACCTGTGTTTGGGTCAGCTAGCATCACCAGCACTTGAAGACCTCCTCGCACCACGAAGCTGACGTTGTTGCTGTTGAAGGACTGTATGATGGCGGGAATACGCTAAACACAAGACAATATGAAATTAAACAAAGGTTATATTTTTGACTGAAGTGAACAACCAAATCAAAGCAGATGAATACAAGTCGAGCAACAAATCAATATTCACACCATAAGGACTGTACTTATATTAAAATCATATGCCTCATATTGCAATTTTTTGTTAAAGCTGATATGCTTTTCTATGCATGAAATGTGAAATTACCTTATCTACAAAAATGCTCCTCTTGGTAGGTGTGCTGTCCAGTGGGAGGACGTACAGGTCAGCAGTGGTGGGGAGGCCTGGGTTCACCACGGTAACCAGGGAGTCCAGAGGGACACCAGTGTTCTGAGGTCAGATAGTTAAAGGTCAGTCATTACATAAAGCTGAAATAATCAATATTCTGTTTATATTTATAGTGAATCAAATGATGTCGAAGGGCTCATTAGTATTGAACAGAACACATAACTCTGCAAATCCTTGGCTCTACATAGTTCTACAGCTTATTTAAGTTCATCGTTTTGGTTCTGTGGCCAGGAAACTGCTTTCATGAACTCAGTCTCCAGCCTGTTCAAGTGAAAAAGCTTTTGATATGCCTACTGTACACTGCACAGCACTAAAAAGCAGATAATGTTAGAGCCTCACTGGCTAAGTTAGAGAAGCATTTAGCAGCTAAAGATCATGGATCATGCCTGTATTAGGGAATGTGGTCAGACTGGCGCTACAGTGACTCACTATTAGTATTGCCTATTGAGTAACAAGCTGAATTACAAAACAGGACTTACCAGGTTAGTCAGTTAGCATACCAATTTCTAAGGAATAACAAAAGCATCAATGTTAATTTACCTTTGTGATTATTTTGGTGACAACCTGGCCAATGTCCTCTCTCCACTCTGGGATGTTTGGGTTGAAGCGGTCCAGGTTTGTGCTGAAACTCAGAGGGATGACCTGGAAATGATCTGGGATTGGATAGAACAGCAAGAGTAGTTAGCAATCACCACAGTCATCATTCAAAACTCATCAGCAGCTTAAAATGAGCCACATACATTACATATTGACTGCTGAAGATGAAACAGCAAATACAACAGAAAGTACAGATGTGGAAAGGCACTGTATGTTATCTGTTTTATTTACTATCACATCCAATGAGTGGATGAAATGTGGAGAGAATAATTGACCTTGACAAAAAAATCTGTTTTTTTCCTATATTCAGTTGATATTTGCTTCTGCATTTAACAAACTGAGGTGATTTGAAATGTCATTTTTACCGTAGACTCGAACTGTTCTGGTATCCTGCACCATCGAGCGGCCATTAGACGCCTGGACGGTGACTGAAAACTCTCCTGTCTCTGGGAAGCGAGTCAGGAGGCTGTTCTGCAGAGTCAGCTTGGGCTACAGGAGAAAGTCAACAGTTTGGCTGTCAGATTGGTCAACTGTGTAAACACTGAGTGTCTGAGAAGTCTGGGATCAAATAATGGCTTCTTTGACATGATGGGAGTTGCCCTGAAAATGTACTTAGGAATGTAGCCTTAAAGGAAACAAATTTGAAAAAAATAAACTAAAACTATTTTGATGGTAATGGATGGTATAAGATGGAGTTTGTAGTGTGTCCTTACCTGCAGGTTTTCTCCGATCCACCAGTTGAAGACGGACAGGTTGGCTTCAATTGGAAGAACTATGGCTGTCAGATTGACCTCATGGTTTCTCCCAGTGATGGGAACCACTTCCAGGTGCACTTTCTGCAGAGGGGCTGGAAGAGAAGAAAACATCATTTGTAAGAATACAAAGCGGAACATATAATTCAAGCACTCACATACATTCTGTTACACAAGGCACGAAAAAAGTTGAGACTGGAATTTTGCCGTCTAACCCCTTCAGACTTTACTAGGACTTCCCATTAAGACCGGCTTAGACTTGCCCTTTAAAGACTACCTTCTAAAATAGAAAATCTGCAGAGTGGTCCATTAATATCATTCAATGTCTGGAAGGCTTACCTGCGACCTGGATGTACATGGTAGCCTCATCGTGCCCTGCCATATTCTCGGCCTTCACTGTGACCTTGTAAACGCCCGGGTTTTCATAGCGATGCTGGATGGGCTCATCTGTCACCGTCAGGTTTTGGTAGATGGCTCGGACCCCATCACCGAGGTCCACCTGGTATTTTGTACGGCTGGTGTCGCCCTGGTTGGAAGAAACAGGGATCTTCAGTAAATTCTAATTGAAAGACAGTAAGAAACGAGAAAAATACAACAAGAAAACCACTTTCATCCTACCTGTTCCTGGTGGACAATGAATGTGATGTCATCCCCAGGCGCCACGGCCAACATCTGCCCTTTGATACTGACTTGTAGTCCTTTAGGGGGCAGCAGAGGGCAGTTGTGCTGTTTGGCGCTCTGCTGCTTGTTCAGCCCTCCTTCACAAACGTTAGAAATGACCTTCCTGTAGCTGAAACACAGCAGAGAAAAAAATGTAAGAGAAAGGAGGTGTATGCAGTGTACGTCTATAAGAGAATGGTTTTTTTTTAGGTTTAGATAAGATCTGTAACGATTTTTGTGACCAACAGGCTATCTGTATCCACCTGTTTCCTGCAAAGCTAAACTTAGCACATCCTGACTAAAGGGTCGTAATTAGAGAACAAACAACATTAAAGACCCTAAATATAAAAACATTAAAATATAAATGTATGAAAATATTAGACGTTATGGATCCATGTTGTGTTAAATAGCCTTTTCTGCACACTGGTACAAAATATTAATGTAAATCGCAGTTTTCCATGTGTATATGCATGTATACATGTATATATATACGTATTTATTTTCATTTAAACCCAAATATATGTGGGTGTGTGAATGTGTTTGTGCAGTTGTACAGACCCAGTGCTTGACTCGTAGGTTTGTCCTAAATGGCAGTCCTCTGGCGGTGAATCTGGATTGTGCCAGAAGTCAGCGAAGCAGCGACTGCCTTCCGTTTGGGAGCGTTCAAAACCGTAGTCACTACAAACACACACCAAAGTTACAGTTATGAACAATAGTAAGTATGAGTAAACACATTGTCCTGCAATATTACCACAGAAGCACTCTTTGCATGTTTGTAATATTTGTAGCGATGTCATGTAGCATAGCCTGGCTTTGGCGTATGTGCTGTATACGAGAACACATAATACACTAGGAAATGTGCTAAAATCAGTTTTCTTTCTACATCCTGAAGTACTCACCAGCTGAAGTCTTTCTCGTTGCATTGACACGGTTTAGTGTTGAGAGCTGAGGTGTAGCTTTTTCCTTTGATACAGAACGATGTGTCCTTCCTTTTCCTGAAACTCCGCTCCTGGCCCATAATGCACTTCTCTCCCTGAATAAGACCATGGAGAAATATAAATGTGGTTCCAAATAAAAGAAACACATGTAACACTTTGTATGTCGGTACTGTGTTTGTGTGTGTGCATTACCTGCATGTCTGTGAGCTGCCAGGACTCGTAGTCAGACTCAGTGCACTGAAGGGGGAACGACTGCCTGAAGTCCACTTTGACCAACTCCCAGTCCGACCTGTAGCTGATGTGCCCGAACACACTGCAAACACACACCAGAGGAACAATGTGACCCCTGAGCACTCAGACTTTGGGATGCAAAACACTGAAATATACAGAGATAAGGGCCAAATCACAGCTTTAGTTGTTATTAGCCAAAATGGGTACACAGCCGGATACCTAGAGTTCTTCTGACACATAATGGTAAGAAGATAAGTCCATCTGTTTGAGAGCAGGGCAATTCACAACAAGATAATCAAACTGTTAGAGCATAATTGGTTTTAGAAGTCTCTTTTTTTTGCCTGGATGTTATTTACTTAACAGCTAACCTTCAGCCATTCTAACTTATCTTACAATATCTAACAGCAAACGCATTTCCCAGAAAGACCCGTCAACGCTTTCCTGTGCGCCGACTAAACCTCAACTGACAAACACACTTCCTCTTCATACACTTCAGACTTTCAATAAATCTTAGTCTTGTCATCTGAAGGAATCTGAACCTCCAAACCCATGCATTTGAGTTATGAAATGTTCAGAAGACTTTGCGAGTCATCATCCATTTATTTCCCAATTTAGAAAACAGCTGGTTTGTATGATGTAGTGAAAATAAGCTCCAACGAAGATGCTTCTAACCTAAACTGGCTTTCAGCATTATATGTGGATTATAAATTCACTCATGAATAGAACTTTGTTACTATAAAGTCTGACAGAAGCAAACCTACAGCCACTCATCGTCTCCACTAGATGGAGGTGTTTTATAGTATAAAATAGGTAATGGTGATGTGTCGGTGAAGCAGACTGACGTAATCCAACTCAGTGACATATGACATATTTGTTGTGCTTCTACACTTTGCTACTCACCATCGTCATTACTCGACTAAGGACTCTCTAAGGCTTGTCATTGTAATCCCTTAACTTATTGTTGTTTCTTCTGGTCATCAGGGGATCAGTTTGCCCCTGATCATAAAACATAACCCACTAAATAACATAAACACCACATCTTGACCACTTTCTAGATCAGCATTTGTAGAAGTCTCTTTTCGAATGAGTACTGACACGGCTAAATTGGTTATGTTTTGGCTGCTGATTGTACGACCAAAGTTTAAAGTTCTTCCTTTTACTATTTGGTAAGAATGTTGGTGAATGAAACTTGATAACAAACAGAGGGAAACATGTAGCCTTTCACAAATGTTTTGTGAATAATAAAACATTGTCAATAATGCTAATTTATCTGGTTAAAAAGAGCAATCACTCTGTTAGTTTCACAGTGTTGAAATCATCTCTATTACTGAGTGTGTTAGCACTTTTTTCCAGTTTGGAGTAGCCACTACAGAGACAAAGAAGCTCTATTAATGAACAAATAACACTCCAATCAGTCGGAGAAGTGTTCCTTTTGTCCCTCCTATTAAAACACTGAGCTAAGAGTGAGAAAACATAACCATGTGTTTGCAAGGCATTTCAAAGAGAGCACTTGTCTATTAGAGTAAATGCAGGGATTTCTTTGAAGACATAATATTTGTAACCGTGTGTTGAGGGAATTACTATAGTGAACATTATTTGTCAGTATCAGAATCGGATGGCATGACGCTTTACTATAACGGCATGTGAGTATCAGCCCATCGAGAGAGTCTGTTCGTCTTTGATATTTGACCAGCTGTCATTAGTATGAGTGCTGGACATTCTCTGCTCCCCCACCTGTCCTTGGTGCTAAGTCACTGTTCAAAGACATCATTATGGGATGGCAGGCAGTGCAGTCAAAAATCGAAACTCAGTGGCAAGGAAATATACCCTGGCTAATCTGTCAGACATGAGCTGCCCTCAACACCCGTCTTTGGCCGCCAAACCTATCTCGACGGAGCCAGGTGTAGGTGTGAGTGTGTCGGTCTGTGTGTCTATATTGGTGTGTGTGTGACTTTGCCCTTCTCAGCAGATTACAGTTGGAAGCCTCCCTTATCTCTCCGCCAAGGCCTGGAGCCTGAGATGATGTGACAATTCTCACTCCAGCTAACTTACTGATGGAGAGATTGGGGGGAAAAAAGGGAGTGAAACAGAGGGGAGCAACTACATTTCCAACGAGATGGATCTCTTGAAGCCAATACACAAACTCTTTCAGAAGCTGCTGAAAGCGAATTTGGACTTTTGTGCTTATGAAAAGATTCAGGAAAATCTCTCGATTCAAATGTTACAGCCTTGTCAGGAGGCCTGTTTGGTTCCTGATTTCACAACAGACATGAAATATACTTTAGCTGTCCTTAGATCTGACCCCAATTTTAAAGTGTCATCTCAGAGGTTTTCAATGTGTGAGGCAGGCTTGAACAGGGTGCTCCAAAAAGTTTAACCGAGTAGGCGCCTTTTTATAAGCTTTTTCTGAGGGCTAGAGGCGAGAAATGAGACAGGGAGGGAGGGCAGAGGCATACAGGCTCCCCTCTTCCATCAACCTCTGCTGTAACAGAAATCAACCCTTCTGGAAGAGAGAGAAAACTGCAGGAAATGTACGAGTGAGGCCAGCTTCTGCTTGCCCTTTCTGACCCTCTATAGAACTCATTAGAAGCAAACAAAGAGCAGGAAGTGTTGAAAGGAGGAAGAAAAGGCTTTTATAATGTGAGTAATTCCACAGATAATTCTCCATTTAATATATTATAATTTTTCCTCATATTGAAATGGGAGCTCAGATTACTGAAGTCCTGAAACAAAAGATATTTTTTGCTTTTGAGACTCACGTCATAACCAGGGTTTCGTCTCCTGGCTCGCTCAGGAGTCCATCGACGAACACAGAGGTGCTGGTGAAGTTGTGAACAGTCCACGTCCGTCCTTCATCGATGCTAAATCTGTGGAGAAACAAGCAATGTTCACCGTCACCACATTGATTAAAGTCCCTGCAAATAAAGACATCATCGTTTCTCAAAGCCTTGCACTTAAGTTATTAATGACTATAAAAACAATACACACCCAGGATATTAATCATCTGCCACAGCCCATAAAACACTTTTTGCGAGTTTTTAGAACAGTGTGTCTTTATAACACAAATAAAAGGGACAAATTAAACAATATGATTTTCTGATGCACTATAAGCTGCAACGTTAGCATGTCTTGGCAAACTAGCTTCCAGTATTAACCTAGCGTTAATTCTATAGAGCTATCATTAGCAAATGTAGCAAGCTAGCTAGCTACAGTGGGTGTAATCTAATAGCAATTGTAGCTAGCAAATGTGCATTAGAAGTGGAGCTTGTTAGTTACAAATGAACTAAATTATATACTTTTAAATAGAGTGCACCACTTGATAATAGAAAAAAAACCTTTTTTACAGTATGTGGAATTTGATCTTACACAAATACAAACTCAAAATGACGAGTTTGAGACACATAAAGCCATCTGCCCTGCTTTATTCACTGACTCCTGCAGTCAACAGTGGCAGCAGTGCTGAGTAAATGTTACTGCATGATGGGAATCAATGAGGGATCAATTCGAAATCGAGCAGTGTGTGGCTCGCACTGAAGGCTGTGTGATGATGATGATGTGCTAACAAGGAGTACAATGTGATTATCAGCTGGTAAACATGCAGTCAGAAAGAAGGATTACAAGCAAAGCTGCTAAAGACTTTGTTGCTATGGTAAAGGCTTTGCGGATCGTATTTGTTAGCCTGCTGTCAAATTATTTGCACAAACATTTCAGATTTGTCAACTGCTCATTCAAAATAATAAGTAAGCTGTTGCGCACATAAATATGACTTTTTTTCCGACATGGGGCGTGAGAGTGTGTGAAACGTGTAAATGCTTGAGTTGCACAAGAGTTGGCAGCCCTATCAAAAATTGGGCATGACATGCTAATATGATTAAACCTCTAAAAAGGTCTGATGGAGTCCAAGTGGAACAGCATATCCCCTTTTACAAAAGTATGTGGTCTTATAGCACACCCGTATAAAAATGGAGCTGCAGTAGAACAATGGAGAAGAGTTAGACAGCTAATTAAAGCAGCCATCTAACAGAATAATGTGCTAAAAATAGAGCAAATCATTGTTCAAAATTCAGGAAAAACAATGCTGTTCCATATTTTTTTGCTTGAGAATAATGATTAATTTAGTCTTTTATTTGTATTATGAGCAGTTAAGAAGAAAATAACAATTGGGGGTCATGAAAGTCCAATACGACTAGGAATTATGTCAAAATGGAGGACAGAAATCTCCAGATGTGGTGAAATCTTCACAGTCATTTTGTGAAATGGTAGAAATTGCGCTTAATTCCCTTTTAAGACTTATTTTACAAAACATTTTCTCAGACTTCCACATTTCTGTGCAATATTTGTTCCACCACATTGCTAAAGGCTTTGGGCTTATTGATTTAGCCGCGGCAGGAGCGAGGGAAAAATGTGAAGGACAACACTCGGTGGTCTTTCGCCCAGAGACAGATGAAGGCCAGTCTAAAAGGTCCTTTGATGTAGGGCTGTGATAAATGCTTTTTTCTGGCTACTCTCTTATCTATGGATTCTCATTATTTCATCCTTATTTATTAAGGTCGATGAGATAGCATCTTGCTGAGCTTAACATTGTCTGTAGAAGGGATTTGAAATATTTTGAAGGGTAAAGGACTGGACTATGGAAGTGACTGGACTTTCTCTGTTCAGTAACAATGGAGTGGAGTTTGTATCCTACCAATGATTCATGGACTTTTGATGGGTCAGTTTTTTCAAATTAAGAGATAATGTTACTTACTTGAGTATTTTGAGGGGAATGGAGGTGTCCTTGATGGCAACAATGACCCCACCATGGTCCAGGTACAGGACGTGATGCTCCTCCTCGAAAACCTTAAAAGTAGTAACATAAAATGTTTGGAACCGAAAACATTTTCTTTCATTTTCTGTCATACTTTGCTGTACAGTTTAAGAGTAAAAACTATTTGTTTTAATATTTGTATCCTCTCAGTGTGTCTTATGATAGCAGAGGGAACATGCAGAGGGGGTCATTAACAAATACCCACAGTACAGGGAAAGAAGAAGAGGCAGGAAAGGGCAGAATGTACCTGTCTCCACGTCTTTCCGCAGTCTGAGGTGATGTACATCTCTTCCTTATACTCTACTAGCTTGGAGCCAAGGTTACCTGAAAGAAAGTTTACAAAATGACATCTGGTGGTGAGTCTTGCATGAGTCATGACACAACACAACAGATACAAAAATGAGAGAAAATACTCTAAAGAGCTTGATACCTTTCCAAATTTTATGAGAATTGCTTATTCATCTGTTTTTGAAATGACATATTCCAGGAGTCAGACATTGAAAACGACACATAACCTATTTTTTCCAAAAAGGCTATCAGGCTTCCTGAAAAGTGACCCAAAACAAGCCATGTCACAATGTTAGACAACATATTAACATGCTTTTTTTGCCACGCCAACTACATTTTTTCATGTATAGCTCATGTACGGAGCCCTGGAGGGTTCATAGAGAGAAAAATAAATAAAACGAGGCCACGTTTTATTAATTCGTGCGCACGAGATGTAATTCGTGGCCTCAATTTAAATAAAATGAGGCCACGCTTTATTAATTTGTGCGCACGAGATGTAATTCGTGGCCTCAATTTAAATAAAATGAGGCCACGCTTTATTAATTTGTGCGCACAAGATACTTTCTCGTTCGCACGAGATACTTTCTCATTCGCACGAGAAAGTTACCGGTGCGCCAAGTAGGAAGTGGAGCGCACAGGAGACAACCGTTTCATTGCAGACTGTTATGTTTATGTGGGGAAATGACAGTACATACATTATTTGAGGTATATTTCAAACTCGGACTTCATTTTAGGGACATTTCGGCCAGAGCTGTAGAGCTATTTGTTTAAGCACCGGATTCGCAAAACAGGAGAGTCTGTGAACCAGTCTGCCTTGATCTATGAATTCATGTCCGTGACTCTCACAGTATCTGCTATCTGCGCACAGAGAGCTGTGTCTTTTACGCAGCGCCTTCACTGTGTTTATCTTCAGAACAGCTGAATAGAGATTGAGGCTGCTACGTTTTAGCCACACACACACACGCACACACACACCTCTACACACATCGAACTGCCCGATTATTCCCCCTATTCCCCCCTACTCGTTTTATGAAGGAGATGTCCAGTCACCAGGGCGCATGATGTGTAAATAACCCAATTTGTCTTCTGTGAAACTGAAAAGGATATGACATTGTTTTGTTACTTTCGTTGCAGTTGTATATGTCTTACATTTAATTTAGGTTAACTTCCTGTTTTATTTAGATGCTTTTATTTTTGAAGGCGAGTTTACGCTGTTGACAGGAAGTTGTTGTTGCTATGGAAACGTGAAATGCTACATGATGTGTGTGTGTGTTCGGTGTATGTGTGTGTCCGACACCGGCATTTGTTTTCAAATTACCATGAACAGTCATTTACACACATCTGGCTAACTCCATATGTGTATTCCCAAGTGAAAGAAGTTCGTTCATCTTAATCTCGATGTAGGCTAGTGCTAAATGCTGTCGGAGTGCACCGGAACAAACGCCACTATCATAATATCTTCTGAAAACAAATGCCCGCACACACAAACATACACACACACACGCCCTGGCGACCGGACATCTTCTTCATAAAACTAATAATATGGCGTAATAATCGGGCAGTTCGATGTGTCTAACCATAAGAAAGTATCTCGTGCGAACGAGAAAGTATATTGTGCGCACAAATTAATAAAGCGTTAATTTGAAAACCTCGTTTTATTTAAATTGAGGGCAGGAATTACATCTCATGCGCACTAATTAATAAAACGTGGCCTCTTTTTATTTATTTTTCTCTCTATGAACCCTCCAGGGCTCCGTACTCATGAAATACAATACTTCAAATATTTCCTTATTTGGTGTTTTTATAATGCTTTATGGTGGTTGGCTCCCGTAGCTGACGGCAAGATACGAAGAATGACCTGGAACACTTATTTCCCCTATCTCATAAACGCACACACAGGCAGCCTTTTTATCCTTATTCAATTTTCACGACATGCTATTTTTCGCTTTCTGTCAGGAATGCCTGCAAACAAACACAACAAGGTATTAAATAAGTAAAATTGCTTTTGGTTCAGCGAAACCCTCTGAGTGCTCAGGCATGACGCAATGTGGTTTAATAGCCCGCCACTGCACAGACTGAAGGAAATACTTGTGTCATGGCTTCTCCCAGGGTAAATGGAGCTTTTTCTGGAGAAGTGGCACTTTCTATAGCTCAGCACAGGGACTGCATGCTTATAATGGAGTGTTACTGTAGAGGCTGCAGACTAAAAACAAACCACACAGCCTAACAAACACGCACACAGGAATATAATACACTGCACTATACATGATACACGAAACATAAATAGATTAAATATGATATTAACAACTTATCTGTTTTTTTTTTACCATCTACATGAATTATTAGTATATAAATAATTGACATTGTTTATACGTGTTTGTGTCAGTTATCTATAAAGAGTTATTTATAGAGGGAATTTCACTATGACTCACTCACTTGACTTTAATGCACAGCGTTTGAAAAGTGTTTTATTACTGCATGATATTAAAGATCACTTCACAGTGTGAGCAGCGTCATACATGGTCTTAGCTGTGTTTAAAGTAACACATAGCACAATAAATAACTATATTCCAGGGATAAAAAGTGAATCTAAGATGTATCATAGTTTGCAACTGCTTTTGTGAAACAAATTACACTTTGTTTCTCCACAGGGAGCTGTTTGAAGTCTGATAATTCCCTCAAGTGATTTGAGTCAGCGTCTGTTGTACAAAAAGAAGAAGCTAGAGAATCTATGGGTGTGGAGTTTGAAAGAAGTGAGTTTATCAAACATCTACAGCTCCTAATCTCTGCTGCAGGCCAACGGGGTAGTGTGGTGACAAATAGCTATATATGTGTTCTCCTTTGGAATTAGTGTTTGTAGGAAAATGGTTCACTAGGCCGAAGGGTGAGTTTGTGAAATGTGCTTCAGTTTGCATTATGCATATGTGGATTTAGTTGGCTAATGCATGTTGGTGCGCTTCCTGAAGTTCATTACAGTTCAATACAGCTTTAGCCTCTACACTGCAGTAACTCCTGTATTTCATGTGTCCACGTTTATTGGTTTTGCTGACTATTGAAGTTATACAATGCATGATAATACTGGTGAAACTCCACATTCAGCCCTTTTGAAAAGTGACTTGCTAGCAGTGTCTTTTACTTTTATTCTGGCATGATGCTTTAAGCAGGGTACCAGACATTAACAGGACAGTTACTTTAAGGTAATTAATCCTGGTAATAGTTGTAGAAGTATAGTCAATGTTTCCCTGATGACGAAGTAAACAGAAAACCACCATCTCTAACCCTCTGTTTATTCGTGTCTCTCAAGCACAGCTGTGTGCCTCTCTCTTTCTACTTTCTCCTCCGGGTCCATTATTTTCACAAAGGCTGTCCCTCGATCCCTGTCTCTTCTGGCGGTCAGTGCCTCATTCTAGATGTTTTGGATCTTTATCTTGGTCCTCTAGGAGGTTCAGTCTCTCGTCTTGTCTTCCCTTGAGTGGATGAAGTTCTTGTCTCTCTCTCTCTCACTTTTTTGTAATACTATATGTTTGAATGGTGTGTGATCTTGTATGTTTGTGTAACCTCTATCCAGGTCTACCTGATAGAGATGAGGTGGTGTGAAGTGCTTTTAGTGACACCTAAAGTTGCTTGCGTCATCCTGGATCCGTTGTAAAAATACATAATGTAACCTACATACACATGTAACCGATCTAGCTATAATTGATTCATACTGTCATTTTATTTTGTTGGTTATTCTGTTCACAGGACAATTGCACGTCTGCCATTTTGGAGGATGGATCCCTTCCGAGTAGCTCTTCCCTGTATGTTTGACGGGTGGGAAAGGGGGTTCACCATCCAAATAGAGAGTGTAAAGACATATGGTGTCATATGCTGCACCATATGCATAAATGTGTTTCAATTCTAATTGACTTGAAACACATTTATAAATGCAAGGTTGAAAGAAGGTCACATTAAAAAGTCGGGAGACTCACCAGCACCCATGATGAGACCTGGAGCAGAGTCTTTGGTGTGGACAGTCCCCGACACGTAGGGGTTGTCCGCCCAGCGTAGGTGGAGGTGGAGGTGACAGTCCGGCTGGTGGAGAGAGAACATGTGAAGACAATTTGATGAGAGGAAAGACGTATGATTCAACCACAAAATACACTATCCGACCATCTGATTGATTGTTTGAAAGTGCATTTGTAGCAATGAATCCTAAAGAAAATAGAATCACTTCAGCGAAATTGTGGGTGAACTGCTCTCGCTGAGTCATGTTTAAATAGTCTTACCTGATAATCCCGTTGCAAATACAGCTCAGTAAAGGGTTTCATTGCTCTAAATTGCATTTTACTTGGTAAAAATAAATAAAAGCGAACTCATTTTAAAAGAGAGAAAAAGACTAGACTTTCAGCAATGCAAATATTTGCCAGAGCTCCTCTGAATCTCGTCGCTTTAGTCTTAATAGGCAGAGCTTTAGGTGCTGTTTACAGGAGAACGCAAACGGTTGTATCCGCTACTTTTCTCTTTCGTATAGCCCGTTCGTTCACACGAGGCCGTAACGGAAACACGGAAACGGACCCCGCAAACGATAACGGGTCCCAAGGTGGATAGATCTGCGGAACGCTCTGGGGGGCCAAACGGCTCCGTGTGTACGTCCTATACAATCATTTCCTGATAACGATGAAGCCATAGCCCCGCCTCTGCACACCTCTGCTGCTCACTGCTGTAGCATGGTCAGTAGCTACTGTCGGTAGCTAGAGATGTTAGTGCAAAATCTACAGCTCGACCATGCTACAGATGTTAGTGCAAAAGCTACAGCTCCTCTACCACAACCATCAGCAACAAGTGGACATGGAGATTGACATGAACTACATGTTGCTAAATCCACCGTGGGGCATAAACAGAAGGGCAACCATGGCAACCATGCTCGGGGGTCTTCTTCGCTGCTTTTGGTGTATTTTCTGGCAGAAGTACAGCGCCACTTACAGGCCCGGCATATGTACTACAGCGTCTCCAGCGCTTTCGAGCGGTCTCGTGCGGAAGTACAGCGCCACTTACAGGCCCGGCATATGTACTACAGCGTTTCCAGCGCTTTCGAACGGTCTCGTGTGAACGGAATACTTTTTTGATATGGTATTCGGTTCGTTTGCGTGTAAATGGGGTCTTAGGCATTCCCTTCTAATGGCGCATTTCCACCATGGCGCGGAGCGCGGTTTAAGCGTGCCGTGTCGTGCCGTGCCCGTTTTTGGTTGCGCTTCCACTAGGCCTAGTTACGGCCCGGCCCGGCCCAAATTGTGGTTCTATCGGGGCCAACAAACAGGGCTGAGTCGGGCTGAGTATGCTAAACTAGAGAGAGGATCGCTGGCAAGGGGGCTACAACTACAACAAGATGGACATATTTGACCGTGATTTAATTGTAATACACGTTTCAAAATGATGCCGAAGTAACAATATACTGATACCGGTTAGTAAAAACCATGAATTAATGCTTTGACAAGTCTGCAGACAGACGGCAGGCGAAAAACCTTTTAAAATGCGTGTTTTCTAAATGGAGATTGGCTAAGCTAACGCAGTATATGCTCCGACCGTCCACACTCACAACAACGGCCTATACAGACATAAATAAAGCAGCGACTGTATTCACCATGACACAGGCAGTCTGTGGTGTGTACTTGTTTAACTTTTGTCGAGTTTCTGAACATATTTAAGGAGCTGTGAGCTCTGAGTGCTAACAGCTAACGGCTGTGTTGTTTTTCTGGGGTTCTCAATGAAGATGACGTCACGGCTCCGCCTACACTGCGTTACTATAGTAACTACCCCAGTTCCTAAACTGTAATGGAAGCGCAGCATGAAGTGAGCCGGCCCTGTTAAGGCCCAACGCGGCCAAGCAGTACCGAGCGTGGCCGAGGCCGACCGTGTGGTGGAAATGCGCCATAAGAAAGCTACTTTTTATACACTAATAGTACTCAAATGTGCAATATCGTTTTTATTTATAAGTGGGGACTTCTTTTAGGACAAGTTATCAGGTAGCCACAGTTACAATGAAGGACGGTCACTCACAATGTTAGGTTGGAATTGTTAAACCTGACCAACTGTTTGCAACAACATAATTGCAAGCATATTTTGGATTTACAAATACACATAAACCAGCTAAGGCGTATTGCTGAAGCTTTGGGCTTTGTTTAGGCCTGGTTCACACAGTACTTTGAATGGACATACAGTACAGTAGTTGTAACTACAATAATATTTGCGGTGCCTCAGTTATATTTTTATTTGTAGTTGAATAGTTTGTAAGCCCTGATTTTCAGTGGGGAGATGTGAGTATATTCCTTCCCGAGGTCCCTTTCATACAGACCCACATGACACGTCTTGTTAATGGAAAGTTATAAACTATATATTTTCTGTTTTGATTGCATGTGCTCTACCCTCCTTGTTGAAATGCATTACCGTGCTATTTTCATTTTAAGGAAAACACTAAATAATAGTTTTTGTGGTTTTACAATGGTTGGTGAAGAGTGACAGGATACTTTAGGCAATCACAGCTACTTTTTCAAATCAGGCATTGGTGTTTTTAGATGTTCAATGCTGCCACTGCAACCTATGCCATTTAGAAATGTCACTTTGGCTTTTCTTAAGATATTTTAAAGGAAAAGAAAGATATTGAAAAACGATGTTACACTTGAATGGTCAAGATCAGCATTTTGTAAAATAGTTGTATATGCTTATTTTGCAGAGAGATGAGGAGATAAATACCACTTGTGTTTTTTAGTATGCCCCATGCCAGCAGAAGAGAAAATCAATATGAAAAGTGTATACGAAAAACAAATCAATGCCAAGTAAAAATAAACAAACAAGACAGAAGATTAATACCTGATGCAAACCTCGCTCCTTCACACAACAACAAAACACAGTATCAAGGGGTTGCTTTAAGGAACAGTTTCACATTTTGGGAAATACACATTTCCTTTTGGATGTGTACAGGTGTAAGGGGTTGTTGTGTTGTGTCTTTTCCTCAGTTTGTTTTATTGGAAACTGACTTGCTACAACTATATGGTGTCACAGTAATTGCAAACACATTCACTTTGAAGCTGTAAAGTAATGGCAGTCGTGTATCAAACTGTAGGTCTATTGAAGACAGTATGTTTTTTAATAATTCAACTCTGGTAAAAGACAAACTCAATGAAGAAAGTGAAAGGGACCTTTAGCCGAGTCAGTACTTACTGCTTTGCAGGTTATCGTCTTGCCATTCATGTCAGTCATAGGCGGGGCCAAGAGATCCCAACTTTGCCCTTTGTTATAGGTGATGAGAGTTGTCACTTTTCCATCGATCTTCTGATTGGCTAGGAAGACTCCTTTGATCCCACGTACCTGTAAAAACATGGCAGATTTACAATAGCTAGGGATTAACAATACAAAATGACTATTTTAATATTAGCCTTCCAGCCGTTTCTTATGGTAAACGTTAAAACATGTAGGCATGAGTGAGAGGTAAGGCCCCAGCCACACGAGGACGATAACGGTCATATCCGCTACAGCTCCCTATCATATAGACAGTTTGGCCACACGAGGCCGACATGGAAACGCATACAACGATAACGATAACGGGTCCCAAGGTGGGTAGATCTGCGAACGAAACACTCTGGGGGGAACAACGGTTCCGTGTTTACGCCTATACTATCATTTCCTGATAACGTTGAAGCAATAGCCCCGCCTCTCCCACCTCTCCTGCTCAGAGATCAGCTGCTGGGCTGTCAGAAGAGGGGGAGGAAAAGAGAGGCTCCGTTTTTTATTCTTATATTATTATAAAGAGTCGTTATCAATTTGTTTTAAAGCTCAATAAATAACAAAGAAGACCTCTGACCGGCACTTTTCTAATTTTGTCCGGAAGATTTCAACTTTAACGGACATGTTGACCGGCGAAAAAAAATCTAACTGAAACTCTGCCGCACGGTCCCCTCGTCCCTTGGAAGAGGCGGAGAGGTGGGTGTTTGTCATCTGCTGGTGGACTAACCGGAGAGATTTACAGCAGGAGCAAACGCTTGCCTCGGGGAGGGAGAAAAAGAGCCAGAGCGTCCACAGCGGAGAATAAACAGAAGGACAACCATGGCAACCATGCGCGGGAAGTCTTCTTCGCTGCTTTTGTGGCAGGAGTACAGCACCACTTACAGGCTCGGCATATGTGCTACAGCGTCTCCAGTGCTTTCGAGCGGTCTCGAGTGAACGGACACGTTTCTGGTGCATATTGCGTGTGGATGGAATACTTTTTTGATATCGATTTCGGTCCGTTTGCGTTATCGTCCTCGTGTGGCTCCAGCTTAAGTCATTAAATCGGCAAACTGACACCCTTATGTGAGTAAAAATATGTACCTTTAGACTTTTTAACGTTTGAATAGCACACATTAGCCACCATACAAGTATTCAGCAGCTTGAGCAGTCACAACCCTGTATCTATTAAACTCTTACCTTACTCTAAAAACTGGCCCTCAAATGATATTCATAAACATAGACACATGAGGTGAGGATAGTAAGTGGTTAAACTATGTAGAATTTTCTAAAAAGATTCCAAATATAAAACAGCAGCAACTGGATTGTAATGCTATCTTGAACAATACAACTGCATTGAGAAAATTAACCAGAACATCAGATAATGCACCCTTTAACTTCAAGCAGGGTTTTGAAAATGTAAAGCAGCAATGCATGTCACTTGGGTAATGAAAGGAAACCACTGACACATGAACTGCAGGCCAGTAAAAGTTACATTTTCTGTAATTGATACATAGATGTCTTTTTGCAGCTGCGTGGTTGCTCACTCCATGCTTTGAAGTTAAAACATTACACAGTGAACCGATAAAGGCCATTTAAACCGAGCCGCATGTTAGACATGTCTCAATTTGCCGAATTCCCCAGCTTTGGTCTCTATCTATAATTTAGTAGTGCTGCATATAAAGCAAATTGTTTGAGTGAAAGTACATGAGCCTGCATTCATTGCCTCTGGAGTTTAATAATAATAGAGACAGAATCAGTTTTTTTCTGTTTAGCATGATTAATTGGTTCTTTTTCATGACGTGGTTATATCCACTTGAAAGCACTTTCACACCAATTGGCTTTTCATTCTCTGGGAGAACACTCTTGATAAAGCTCCCCAGAAGGGACAGAACTTACATTTATAGCAAGCTTGGGTTTGGACTCAGCTGTGTACCTTTTATAGAATGTTAAGGTATTCTGAGACTGAAGTACTCTATGGCTATCAACAGTGTTTTTTTATTTTTGTTTTGTAGGCAGACCATGCAGGCCTCAGAGAGATAAACTTGGGCCTGCTACCATAGTTTTACTGTATTTTGTTTTGAAAATCCACAGCAGAGGTTTGTGTCGTACTATGCGGTGTATTTTGCATATCTCTCAGTAGCCAACGATCTGTGAGTCTGTTGGCTCGGACATAAACTCCGTAATAAATGTAGTCTACATTTCATAAGAGGTGTAAAACCTGAGAGCATTTTAAATCGCATTTGAACTAAATGCTTATATAATCTGTAGTTGTATTTGTATTGTTGATTTAATGTGTGAACGAGGCGATATAGAGAAGGTTAAACTGTCATTATTAGGCTATAATTTCATATATACTGTTGGAATGGTAAGCAGGCCTATTGTTTTTGGATATTTGTGGAGTTAAATGGTCCGTGAGTGTTTTTTTATTGGTTAAGTGGTCCTTGGTATGAAAAAGTTTGAGAAACACTACGCTAGTGGATTGTCAAAGGGGGAGCCTCGCTGCGGGGAAATTATACATATGGCTAGTCCGCCCCTGAAACATTTCTATGCACACGTTATTATTAATAATAATGATACAAAAAATTGATAAAAAAATGTATTAAAAAAATTAATACATTTTTTTTAATTTTCAATTTTTATTTTGTAATCATCTCGCGACCCCCACTCGGGGTCTCACGACCCCCACTTTGGGAACCCCTTCTCTACCCCATCTTACCTCAAGTATGTCAACGAGGACATTCTCCTCTGGCTGCTTGGTGCTGCGAACATTTTCTAGGACAATGGAGTAGTAGACGCCTTGGGGGTCAGACTGGTACAAGTTATATGTGTCCGTCTGGTACCACTCCTGGAGGGCGAGGAAGACCTGGTCCTCGTCAGTACTCACTATCTGAACATCCTGGGGGAAAAGATTGAGAGAAAAAGGAGACGTGTGAGTTAGGAAGGGAGAATATTTTTTGAATCACTGGTTGCAGGGTTCATACACTTTTTCACCAATGATTTTCAATGACTTTTCCATGACCTTTACCTAATTTTCCATGACCAAAAAAAATACTCTTTCTCAGCAGTACCACTGAAAATGGTTTATTTGAACATGGAACAGGAAAATAAGGTCTGCATATGAAACATGTTGTGCCTATCTAAAACAAATCAAATAGTAGGCTTACGAGCTTCTACATGCTAAAGCAACTAAAATCTCTCACCAGCAAAATACCTCGTCAGTTAAATGCCATTTGACGTTTCATTACTATACGATACAGTAGGGCTGTGCGATTATGGCAAAAATCATAATCACGATTATTTTGGTCAATAATTGATATCACGATTATTAAATACGATTATTCATTGACTTTGAAAACATCCATTTATTGAACTTTAAAACAAATACAAATAATAATTTGAACAGTATATTTTTAACTGTTGATATATACCGATAGTTAAAAACCAATACAAAAATAAATAAAATGATACATTTAAATAAATAATATCAAAATAATAAATACCAATAAACAAGCTCAACAAATATTTTAGAGCGCACTTCAACAAGCTACTGAACATATGTAAATATGATAAATACAAATAAATTAGACTAAAATAAATTAGATCAAATATGTTGCAGTGCACTGTCACAACCTAGCAAAGCAAAATAATAATTTTTTTCGATTATGTTGTTTTCGTAATTGTGGCAGGCCAAAATCGTAATTGCGATTAAAATACGATTAATTGCACAGCCCTATGATACAGTATTTATTATCATTATAGTATTACTATTTCGGCGATTAGATATAATATAAATTATATTATAATTTCCATGACTTTTCCAAAACTATATTGTTTTCCATAACTTTTCCAGGGCCTGGAATTAGCATTTTGAATTTCCATGGCTTTTCCAGGTTTTTAATGACCGTAAGAACCCTGTGGTTGGGAACTAAAGAAAAATACAGGCCAGAGAACAGCAAATTAATTACATTGAAGACACAAAAAGAAAATGAATTGCGCAAACAGGACAAATTAAAAACAGGAAAATAAAATGTGCCGATTTGACATAAAGGTGAGCAAGAAAGGCAAGTAAAGGGTGAAGTAGAGAAGAAAATAAAGCAACAAGCAGTTACAGGGGTAAATAATGGAAAAGGGATATTAAAGAAAAGGAAAGGAGATAATGGGTACAGCAGTAAAATAATCACATTTGGATTCATAGAAAAGTTGACAGTAACTAACTTTGAGCCTGAGAACATAATCTGATTAATGCAGAGCTACAGTTATACAAACAAACTGGAGGAGATAGCGATTTACCCACTGCAAAACTGTCTTTGGCAGCTTAGAAAACTTGTTAGGTGTTCTTGTCAAAACTTGTGAGCGTCCAATGCAAATGGCTCCATCACTCATGAGAGACTGTAACTGCGGCACAAGGAGCGAGTCAGCACTTTCGCTAAGTTAGTGATTACATTAACATAACATTTTAAAGCCATAAATAAAATAAAGCCATCAGAGAGCAAGGGGAAAGTGCCCAAGAAAGAGTGTCTATGATCATTGACACTGCCGTTTTGCCCAGAAAAAACCCTAGAGCTTCAATATCTTTTGATTTATGGTTATGTCTCAGTATTGAAAGTTGTGAGATGATTTTCATACATACTGTTTTTTTAATTCACCCAGGAATCTGTGTGTATATTACCAGAAAGACAATTCTGCAACAACTTAAAAAAAAGGAAGGTAGCTTTTCAGTTTACTTCTGAAGAGCTACAGAACGTGGCCAAGCCAAGTATTAGAGGTAACAGATGTGGCATGGGGCAAAAACGTTCTCAGAACTAGTCTTAACTTTGCATGGAACACAAAACTAAAAACATCAAAATAGGCGTAAACCTTTCCCCTTTGTATAATGTAAAGCCAAAAAGTTCAAGAGAACTAGTAAGAAGGCTGAAAAGACAATTCTCCCATGATGCTACAGGCTGCCACTATGGCCTACCAGTTTCCGCCCTTACTCCAAACATCTTAGTCTTCTGCCTAATGAAGGTAAAAAAATTAAAAATCTATCAAAGTTGAATAGGAAATTATGCGACAACAAAACCCAACCACTTACAGTTCCCCTCTGCCTATGTCTTTTATTTTTCATTTAAATGCTTGCTGCTAGGCTTACAGTTTGCACCTTAAAAGTACATGTTGAACAGATTTGAATGTCATACTAGTCTCTTTGAAATATATAAGCCCAATACTCAGGATTATAATGAATGGCAGATGAAAGAAGCTTTGCGACGCACTCAGTAAGACGACGTTTCAAAAACATCAACTTCACTGAATGGATTTGGTTGGGATGGGAAAAGACGGAATTTATTCCAAGAAGTTGCAAAGAGATTTGTAAACTATGGCATATCCAATAGTTATGTTACACTGTTTGAATGATTTTATATGAGTCTAAAGCAGTTTATCAAACTTGTACCATGAGGAATCTTCAAAAGGAGTATTTGTTTTCATTTCACTCTGTCAAGGGCTCATTGCATTGGTACAATATGGTCTCAAAAAGATATACAATGCAAGTCGGCTTCCAAAAATTGTCCAAGGATTATCCAACAGATATCTTTATTTTTCAAGGCAATATGTATTTAAATGACCGATCATCAGGTTCTATGAACAGAAACTCAATTTCACCACCTCTGTTCGGTGAAAGTGTACAAATTGTAGGAGTAGTTCAAAGAGGACAAAGCAGTACAAGGGTTGGAAAGGTCTGCAATCCAATAATTGGACAAAATGTCGTATCAAAATTAAAGAGAACACTTTGTTTTGAACTGGTGCCAGAGTTTAAAATAGGAAAATGTAGGACGATGCCGGCAACAAGGAAAAACTGCTGAGCAGAACAAATTGAAAATGTAGTTTGAACTCTTGGACACCAGTATTCTCTGGTCCATTTCTGGAGTCAGTGGCATTTATCCAGGGCTTTTACATTACACAATAGCTAAAGGAGCTACACTTTGCATGATAAGGGCAAGAGAAAGACAAATGGTCATGGGAAATCTCCGCATCTGGCAAGCCTAGCTATGTGTTCTGAAAATGCCACCCAACCGAAAATGCCACCTGTCCTTTACCCTTTAGCTGAAATCATGACTTGAAATCTCTACCAGCATTCCTCTTATCGGTGCTGCATCACTGAATGCCCTCTAAAACAAACATCTTCCATCCATCTCTGTCAGGAGCAGCAGGGCCACAGACACCCCAGAGACAGCTACTGCTGGGAGTGAAATATCAGAGATCTTGAGATCTACAGGCCGCACAAGCCAAGGGAATCTATGTCAAACTTCCCTTGACCTAAACTCAGCATGGTGTTCACAACTCTACATTAGAAAGGCAAAGACAGAAATAAATAATGAGAGGGGGAAGGGGGAAAGGGAAACTGTCTGAGTGCAGATACTCTTAGGGCACATCCTAAAAACTGTCAGTAACTTATAACAGGTATAAACGAAACAGAATAATTTATGAAAATAACCAATGTGATTTGTCAGCTGTAAAGTATACACACAGTAGCAAGTCTAGTAGGGGTGTTGAAATGAATCGTTTCTACGATGCATCGTGATGCGGACGTGGACGATTCTGCATCAATGCAGGGACAGAACATAATTGATTATAGCATAGTAACGTTGCTTCCTGATCTTCCGGCCGTGGCTGGACAATAACAGTTGTTTTTTTCTGTCACACGAATATCAAATCGGTCGGTGACGCAGAGATCAGGGAACAGAAGTGACAGCGGCACAGCGACTCCAAACACGGAGCAGTCTGCTTTATCCACCAACACAAGAACACCAGTCCAGAACCAACAGCAGAAGGACCCGCTCTGAATCAGTCCGTGTCGCTGCGGCTCAGAGACACACATCGATTTATGTTTTTGAAAAACACTTGTTGTCGTCATGTCAGGTTTTTGGTGGATTTAATTAAGTCTTCGATTGCAGAGTATGAATGTCCTCTTGCTATTTTCAGACGATAAATACGTGTGTACATTTTGTGAAGGCAGGAGGAAAGCTTCCACGATCACGTCTCCTCTCTGCTGCTCCAAACCCCGCCCCCCCCCTGAAAATAATGAGTGACAGGCTGATAGTAACCTGATATAAACTTTATTATTCACTTAATCACTGATTGAGATATGATGAAGCTAACTTAATCTCCTACAATCATGGGATTAATGTAACAGTACGACAGAGAATGTAAGTGTGCACCCACATGCACTATTTTTGTTTGTATATACTGTTGCAAATACTCCAGTTGTCTGCTGTGTTCAGACTCAAATCTTGTTTGCGATGCCACATTCAGGACATTCAGTGTCCTTTTTTGAGCAGAAGACCGTTGCTAGAAGCTGCAGCTATTAGTTTTTGAGGATGGAACAACTTCACACACAGATATAGGGAGGCTATACCTTTACAATTGGTTTACTTTGGTTTATAATTTAATGTCAAGACATTTGTGACCTGCTCCATCGAAATCAGTCGCATTGACCCGAAGACACATTTTGAGTTGTATACACTGTTGGAAAGAGGAGATTCCTAGCTCTCTAATGATGTCAGGATTGTGGTTGTACTCAAAATATTAAGCGAAATATGTCACATTATATAATGACTATCACCGAGGCATAATTTTGAGAAAAAGGCCTTCAAAGTTTCCTCTTCTCTGGAATCCATCGATCTGATTGATTATTAGCGGAGCAAATGATCAAAATACTAAGGAGGGAAAATATTTTCGTTTGGATTACTGGTCTGGGGGAAGCTCGCGAGTGTGTGTGTATGTATGTGTGTGTGTGTTTGTGTATTTTTGCGTTTGAGTGTATTGTGTTTGTTTCCCGGGGAAAACACTCACGAGAAACACCGGCTGTTGTTATGCCTGCTGTGACGTTAAGTTACTCTGTTCTCCGCTTGTAATTATGCCGTTACAAGCTTCAAAGTTGTATTTATCATCTGAATTTGCCGAAACAAGTTTAATATTCTGAAAGCCAAGACTTTGTTTATTTGAAATCAGATGAAAACAAACTATAACGGACCCTGCCGTGTTATCTATGATTACTATACGCTTACATTCATAATTTCAGCCGGAGGGAGGGGGGCGGCGCTAAGGAAGAGCAGAGTGGCGAGTGAGAGGTGCCTGTTATCTTCCCTTTACAAGCTTCAAAAATGTATTTATCGTGTGATTTTGGAAATAAAAGTTTCATATTCTGAATGCCAAGAATTTGTTTATTTAAAATCAACACCCGAACCCCGAAAAACTATTTTTTTACGCAAATCCACGTTTATTTTTTAAATGAGCCGTTGCGACTTCCGACTGATTTCGATAGAGCGGGTCACATTTATGTTATTGATTTCTGACGCACTTTCTAAATAATAAAAAGGGAGTTCATATTTATCTTACATATTGTATTCATTGATGAAAAATAAGCCATGTGCAGTAATATAGAAATTTGAGGATGCAACGCATTGTTATGCATCGGGATATCGAATCGAAGACAGGATAATCGTAATCGAATCGAATCGTGAGCCCTAATGTCTAGTACAGGGGTCGGTAACCCCTGGCACGCGTGACACCATTGGCATTGACTTTCACAGTCTAACACATCCCATTAATCATGAAAATCCTCATCATGCCCGTTGGACATTACTCAGACAGAATTGTATATACGGCATAATATAGAGTCGGTTCAAACATGATAACTTTCAGAAAGACTTCACTGGCTTCTTGGCTCCGACAAGGTTTGTTTGAAGAAAAGATCAATCACACCAGTTAGTATTTAGAAGCATATGTTAAATGTGCCTTCTTGGTAAAGCTGACAAATCTGAAGTTGTAGGAACAAGCTGAATTTAACAATGATCAGAAATAGTGCTGGGAAAAAGTGATCAAATACATCTTTTGTATCAGTTATTTTTGGAGTTTGATACGTAATAATTATGCACTGGCACTTGTACAGAGCACAGCCTTGCTTATCATTTTGAAACTGACAGCTATATGACATTTAATCTTCTATCTCTAGTCCGCTTGGCAATGCTAGTGGAGTAAAGGCAATGCGCTCAATACTACAGTATACTCTTTCTCATTCTGTAGTTGCCATGCCTGACAGCAGTGAGTATTTGTCTAGACTCTCTACAACTGTTTGGTAAACTTAATATTTCATCAGCACTGTCTCATGTCATTCCCTACCTCCCTGAGCGCAGAGGGCAGGGCCAGACTGTGTGCAGAAATCCTAAATAAATAAATGACGCTACCTATTAAACTTCCATTTCCAAATAATATCCCAGCGGGGATATTACTGACACTCGTAATGCATAGCTGTGAAGTTGCACCGGCACTTTGAAGACTTTGTAAATGGAAGAAAAAGGAGGGAAAGAGTGCTCACGACCTCACCCATAAACAAGTTAGGTGATGTGAGTTTAATTCCTTTTTTTGCTCTCATAAAAGGAGCAATTTTAACATTTCCAAGTTAATTTGCGATTAATAAAAGTAAAAATGTGCACTGGCAGGCGTACACAAGGTTTTACAAATCTGAATATTTCTTTGATGCATGTACATTTCTTATATTGAATGTTTAAAAACATTTAGTGTGGATTCTATGCAGTGTTCTATAAATAAAGCCCTGGGTGTACACGGAGTGAACTGAAGATTTGGAACAGCCTGAACTTATTTTATTTTATTTTTATCACTTGAGTAGAACATTTTTGCTGGCTCACTGAAACCCTCGCACTTGTTTGAAAACAAAGGTGATTGCATCCTGGGTGAAAGACAACAGAAGAGGATGGCAATAGAACCAACAAGGGAAAATAGTGGCTGTGATTTCGCAGCCATGCCAGCTGTGTGCATGTGTCCCTGCATGAGTGTGTGTGTGTGTGTGTGTGTGTGTGTGTGTGTGTGTGTTTAATCCATAACTCAGGTCAGGTCTCACAGGACAGAGGCAAACTGCTTTCTCTGATGGCCTCTGCATTTTTCATCCTCAAGCCTTTCAATTATTCACAGTGGAAAAACATAGTGCATGGTGACACACACACACACACACACACACACACACACACACTCCCTTCCTCTCCGCTATGCGTCTCTCACTCCATCCCTCTTTTCCTTCTCTATTTCTTTCCCCTGTCCCCCGTCTGTGTTGCTCAACCTAAAAGCTTTGCAACGTGTGACCTATCTGCTCACCCAAGTAAGAGGACACATGTAAGGAGAGGGAGACAAGACACACACACATTCACAAGTTCATGCAGAAGCAGATTTCTTCCACGGACTAGCTGCCACATCTAATGAAATTGATCTGTATTGTCTCCAGTTGTTGGACAGAGAGAAATAAAGTGTGTGTGTGTGTAATTCAATCCCACTCACCTTCCTCGAGGATCACTGAGTACTGTAGCCGAAGTAGTCAAACAATTGAGGCATAAGATCTCTGTAAGTGGTTGGATTGAGCTAAAGTAATTCTATACATTTCCTGGAGAGTGCATGTGTGGAAAACACCATCCACACAGTCCTCTCTGACAGGGTGTCAATAGCACTGATTGTCTTTTCTTAGTTTAAGGCTGAAAAATACATTCAATCAGCGCAGCTCAATAGCACTCAGGCAGGTGCCACGCGAAAACGGCCCCCCGAGCCTCCGACGCTGACAGCGAAGGTTCCTTGAACTGTATCGGAGTGGAGCTCATTTATCGTCTTTGTCTATGTCAGGGAGACGGAACGCGACTGGATCGATGCTCAGTGGTGAATATTTTATGCGAGCTATCGTGTATCAGGCCGGTACCAGGATTCACTTGGGTACTTACATCTGACACCGACAGCCAAGTGGAACATAATTGGTTATAGAGTTGGTTTCAGTGACGGGAAAATTATTTCACGTTCAATTGCATGTATTGGTTGATTGGGGAACGTGTTAAAGTTAAGTGAAGATGTTAAGGTCAAACAGAAAACTCTTTATGGGCAACTAGTCAAACTCATCACTTGGCCCTTTTTCAGTATGAGTATATGAAGCTTTGTAAAATCAAAGTACGAACTAAACGGTGAAACTTTAGAGAGGGTAACTGTTTTGAGAGAGCATATTCTTTACTATGCAAGTCAAGATATTTTTTCGGTCTGCCGCTATTAGACAGGAAACCGGAGGGTTATGACATGCAACACAGGTCTACGACTCATCGAAGCAGGGACAGTGCCGGATCGTGGTATGCACTCTGAGATGCTAGTTAATTTTAACTTGCAAGTGAATATATAACCATTGTTTTGTTTAGTGTAGACACTATCGTCACAACACAGACGTGTGAGCGCCCCTCACAGAGGTATCTATTGTTAGAAACAGCTCTAACTAAAAGTGAAGATTTCTAATGTCATTCTCTCGAATAAACAGATTGACATAATTTGTAAAATACTAGACCTTTTTTGATAAATCATTTCAGACTAGGGAATCTGGTACAAGTGGATAACACCATATATGATAAACCTATTCAATCCACATTGACATCGACCTCCACAACAGTCCAATACATTGTGAGTCATACTTTCTTTGCCAGAAATTCAATAATACATACTGTAAATGTTTATGAGAAGTATACAAGTGCTTATTGATGCAGTTAGTACATTGTTCCCATACCATAAGAGCTCCATAATTCCATAGTAAAACTAGAAACCTAGTTTAGTTAAGCAGTGACAGAAGTATAACTTTGTTGTGCTTTACCTTTGGCAAGGCGTACTTGGGGAACCTCATCTGGACAAACTCGTTGCGCCGATAGGAAACATAGTGCTTGGTGCGATTCCCTGTGGTGACCTGGAAAAAAGACAGACCGAGAATTAAAAAACTAATATTTTAATTGAAGCAGATATTAAACATACAGTATTTGTGTTTAAATAAGTGACTGAGTCCAAGGCTTTGGAACATGCAATTTCAAGTAAAACTTTAAGGCAATGTTTTCAGGAAAGAGAGAGAACAAATACATCTAAACAAAACGAAGCATTCAACATCCAGCAATGTGCAGCCGGTGGAGTCAAGGTGCACAGTTTACCATATGCTTTGGGTGACTCACACCGTGCTGAAAAGTAAAACTCCCCCGCTCGGCACAGACCTTGGCATTCACTACACAAACTGGGATCTGTGGGAAAAAGGCTGAGTCATGCGATCAGTTTCCTCTCCCCCGACTACCACCAAACACTTCCCTTCCTGAGCCGGCTGATCAGAAAAAGCTCACCAGGCACCGAGCCTGAATACCCAAACAGTCGAGGCTACGTTACGTTAGCTCGGTGAAAGAGACAATGACTTAAACAGGAGTTGAACGCATCATATCCCAAGTGATGGGCTCAGACGCATGCATTACACTTTCTGAAACACACTTCTTGTCGCTGTTCGGCTCTTTGGAAAGTGAGCTAAAACTTTTACTTTCAAAATCTGATGGAGAACTTTGTATTCAAAGCTTTTTCTTTTACTCTCCGGCTTTCAGAATATCATTTTCTCGATCGTGTATGTTCAGATTTGAGATTTTATTACAGCCATAATTTCTATTTTAAAGAAGCAGACCGGCAGCGCTTTTGTTAAATGCTGAACACTGATGAAACAATTATTTAATTTTCTTTTTAATTTGAGCCCCTTAAGGAACCGCCATTAAGAAATGACCTTCTACAGAGGTCATGTATGAATTAGCCACGGCTGCACTTTTAGCCCGGACGTCTTTTTTTCTGTACTGCTTTAACATCTGATAATCACCTTAAGGCCCTGGCAAGTGTGTATAAATATAAATATATGTGCATTTCTGTCAAGGGTGCAGGTTCGGTTGAATAAATTGGTGTGGAAACAAGAACTCGAAAGAATTTCAATTCAAAAGGGCTATCTATTTCCTGCATAAATACATCCATATTCATGTCATCAAGTAATAGCACATTATACTGTAAATGGTTATTATAAGAGGAGACAAGAGGCTCAAGGCTACATTAGCAAAACAAACACAAATCATTTGACAAGATAATATAATCCGTCCAATAAAATGGATCATATCTGTTGTTCTGTTGAATCGATTTCCATGCTTTTTAAAGACTCTCCATCGTACAACCATGTTAAAGAAGTGCAATTCTAAATCGGTAAGAAGTTTAGAATCAATATTGCAGAACTTTTTTCAAAGCAGGGTGTTTTGATGGACCTGTATCGCATCCAAGAGGTTATGTAATATAAACTATGATTTATTTGTATAATATCCTGTGAGTTTTATAGGGGTGGAATACTAATCCACTGAAGTACTTTTAAACACCACCTAAAGATTGCTCTCTACCGTCAAACTATATTGTCTTAAAAAAGCCAGATTTTAAGGGAATACTGGTTATAAATACTCATTTACATTAAATTAGCAGAGATGTTTAATCCCAGAGAAGTGCCTGCATTTCTTTCTCTCAGACAATTGGAATTGTAAAGTGATAAGATCATACTTAGTGGAAATGATGTCATGTTTCTCTGTCCATAAATGTGTCCCTTATCTTATATCAGTTGGTTCGTAACACAGGAAGTACTAAAAGGATAATCCCTGGAGGATAGACGACCAATCAATCTTGTCCTAATGAGGGTTGTATTCCTCATGAATACACATTTACACACAATCATTTACATACATGCACAAATGCAAACACATTCATCCCAATATATGACAAGTTTTATCGCATTACATCTTCTGCTCTATACCAGCTCATATATATTCTGCTGGTATCAAATGCAAATGGTATTCAGCTTTCAGCCTCTGGTAGAGTACTGCATGGCGAGTCAATTATTGACAAGGCAAGATTAATTCTGCGCACACTCCCAAATAACAATTATTAGCTATTTTAAGCCAACTGTACGGCACGCCGACAGACAACTGCAGCCTAAGTTGTGCATGCAAACATTGAACATAGGCACAATTGCTAAATGATTATAAATAACAGGGGAGAAGCAGGTTTCCAAGGACAGTTTTAAAAGGTACCAAACTATACTATTAATCAAGTAATGGCTATATTTTGAAACCTAAGGGTAACTGTCTCGCCTACACTATAAAATATGATCATATGCGGTGCTCATATGCTTTAAGGCACAAAACAGTAGGAGGGCTAAGTTCCTTTAATGCATATTTAACTTTTTCCATCTGTTATGATGGCAAAAGTGGAAAGTTAGAGAAGAAAAATAAAAGGGAAATCTTGCTAACACTAAAATGACTTAAGGTTCAGTTTTACCCTAGAGGCTACTGTGGAAATACTGTGAGAATGTCCTCAATCAGAAGCGAAGTCACGGAGGAGATCAGTTCTCCTATTTAAAACAAATGGTTGTCCCTCTGTTTTGGTTGTACTGTCTGCATATTAATATTGTTGTTTTTGTCTCAGTAAACTCATCAACATTTTTCTCCAGCAACTGCAGCAGGCAGCTGTTTTAATAATACATAGCGTATAGAGGCACAGTTTAAGGCTAGCTGGTGAACATAAAAACATAACCAGGGACAAAGACTGCAAATTAGCTTCAGCTAAAAGCCATGTGTACATTTCATCAGTCACATTCTATATAACCCTAATCCTACCTAAATGTTTGACCTACAGGGAATGTACCGAATGGGAACAGAGAGAAGGAAAATACTGCATGAAACAACTGTCATAGAAAGACTGTTAACTCTCTAAGCATTAGAAGATATATCATTAATGTCTGTAAATGGGAGAAAGCTATATTGATTCATAAAATAATTAAATAATTATACTATTGAATAGAATACTTATCAAACACAAAATAAATGGTTTTTTTCATTGATTGGCAAAGAATGCAAAATTGGAATGATAAAATAAATCCCCTGTGTCTTCAAATGAATAAACCCTCAGGTAAAGTGGCAACAAAATAGAAAATGTTATGCCGATTTTGGGAGCCAGTTAGAGTCTACGAATATGCTGTTTCTATTATGTATCTGCTCTGTGTTTTATTACATTTAAAGAAAGTAGAATATTTATTATTTTAAACATTTAAATGTTTTCAATATGATTTTCCTGAAACTTTTCTCGACAGGTTTATCCCAGGAGCTGCTGCATGAACACATCACCACTTGCTCCGTCCCCTCCCCGATGTAGAGGTGCTTACCTTGACAAAGATGTAGTCGTCCTGCACCAGAAGAGAGTTGTGGTCGATTTTGCCGAGAAACTGAGCCGTCACCATTTTGTCTGAGCAGTTCTGGATGAGACAGGTAACATAAAGGTAACCTGCAGAAACAGACAGGAAAAACAGACTTAGTTACTGTTAGTAAGATGTGAAACAAAGGTGTTTACAAATATTGATAATTCTTAGCATTTCACAACAAAACACAACACATCAACAATAAAAACACACACACTTTCATAAATGTTGCCATAACATTTTGATAAGAGCAATGATTAAGGGATAAATAAGTACTTTTAAGGTACATTTTGAAAAAATAAAAACATGATTAATTAGTGATTAAATGTGCAATCATTCAACTATTGAATAATAAAATATTTGTATCTATTCACAGCTCAAATATACGGGCGGCTGTGGCTCAGGAGACAGACTGTTGTTGTCAAATCACAAGGTCGGTGGTTCAATCCCGAGCCCCTTAAGACAACATGTCGATGTGTCCTTGGGCAAGATACTTAATCCCAAATTGCTCCCGATGGCATGGCCTAAGGTGTATGAATGTGTGTGTGAATGGGTGAACGCTGACTTGTATGTAAAAGCGCTCTGAGGGGTCACAAAGACTGGGAAGGAGCTTTACAAATGCAGTCCATCCCATTTTAATGTATACACCTAAAGCCATAAAACATGCCCACAGACACAGGGAGGGAGAGAAGACTATGTGAATAGAAAAAGTAAGACGTCATTTTTCAGACTATTTAAGATATGACAGCTTCCCAATAGACCACATCGCCGTTTTGTAGCAACCAAATGGCCAGGAGGGATTATCCTCGCAGACACAGAGCGAGGTTAGCCCCGGTTGCAAAGCTCACCCGCTATTGAATTACGACTAGCAGCTGCATCAGCAACACTGCCTCCTGAAATTCAGCTATTACTCTCCTCCCAGAGGTGGCAAGCTGGCAAAATGTCCACACACACACACACACACACACACACACACACACACAACACACACACACACACACACAAACAACACACACACACACACACACACACACCAACACACACACACACACACACACACACACACACACACCACACACACACACACACACACACACACACACACACACACACACACACACACACACACACACACCACACACACACACACACACACACACACACACACACACACACACACACACACACACACACACACACACACAGTGTTTTGAATGACATTACCTGTTTTGACCTTGAATTGATTACATACATGCAAACCTTTACTTGCAAACTATAGGGATTTAGTCTCCATTCCATAGCATCGAAAAAATAAAAACTGGACTATTGTTGTAATGATGAAACAATTGCTGAGGAACAATCTATAGCATTCCTTGAGACAACTGGTAAGTATGAATATAATATCCTAACATTTTTGTATTGATTTTTGTGTTTTGGAATTGTTGATCAATACATATTTGTATCATTGCTTATGAAAGGCACTTTTTGTTACCTCAAACAGCTGTTTGTTGTTCTTTGAGCTGCTAAAGAAAGTGACCCACCTCACTTCTGGGGGCCCTACGCTCCTACCATTAGCATCTTTATTCTATATATCTATGTGACAGCATAAGTACCAGAGAATAAAAACAGACTTCCAAGAACTACCTTTTAGAAAGTCTATTTGTTCTTTTTTTGCTGTACTATTCTCTCTTTGTTAAAGAGGTGTTTGTTCCCAAAAATGGACTTGCTAATTTATTGAACTGCCAGGACGTTTACTCAAAGAAGTATACAGCAGAGGAGTCATTAGAAAACCATTATATTGGGCTAAGTGTTCAATTCCAGCTTGCGGAACATACGCTTCTTTATACTAGTTGCTGTCCTCGCACACCTGGGAACGCATAAACTAAGCACACACACATATATTTAATATATATATAAGTCACTGTCTGTCTTTGCAAAGCCTACATGCTTGTGTTTACCAGCGCATGAACAAAGTCCACTCACGCTTTCCTGCACATCACGCCCCCTTAATAACTGACACTTACACACACCCTATACTCAAAGCTCATTCATCAATCGACCACTGCCATTTCTCTTGATTCCCTTTCCTCTCATCCACCGGTCCTCGCTTCCTCTTCCCTTGGTGACTCCGTGTCCTTCTTTGATGCTTGACAACGTTTAACCTTGGAGATGCCACATGTGACGGGGGGGGGGGGGAAAGGGTGACTGGAGTGGTTCAGCATGCCTGATCACTCTAGTCCCTCTTGAGTAGCTATGTACATTGGTATGGAAGCAAGGCCAGGGAAAAGGAAGGAGAATTTGGAGGAAGAGGAGGAGGGGGGACCATGTGATGCTCCCTTGCCCCAGAAAGAGCCCTCGTGCCTGGGCAGCTGGCCCACACAGACAGCTTCTCCAGTTCACCATCCACAGACACAGCGTTGTTCGGCTGATAGCTCTCATATTGCTGGCAGCTTTCTGTGAGCTGGTCAAAATCGGTTTCTCTCCTCGAAGGATTTAGGAGATATTTTGCATGTTTCTAGAGAGGTTTATGGAGGTTTATATATCCTTTATTTATTTTGTATTCAAGCACTAACCTGCGTGTCTGTCACTTTACTGATACCATAATCCAGATGAGCTTTTTCTTCCCCAGCGACCTATGAAACCCCTCCTTAATTTACCCATTAGCCCCCCATTGACCAACTGTCCACAAACACCCCACCCACAGCAAGGTCAAGCGTTCCACTATTCTATTCCCTGCATTCACACGGCAGGCTAGAGTAAGATTTGTGCTACCTTGATGCAGAGAGAGTAAATATGTGACAAAGTAAATCAAAATAACCTCCAAAATATCCAAACAAGTAGGTATGGAATATATTTTCATAATGGAGATATAACACCTAGTCCTTATAACACTAGGTGTCAGTAAAATGCCAATTAATGTAGCGATGAGTCAACTCAGGCAAATAAGAATACTGCAAGCTAGCAAACATGGACGTTTTTGGAAAAAATCTCATCAGCATTTTTTTCCGGAGGAAGTTAATGGATCCAATATATTTTATATTGGGAGGAAAACAGCCAATTAGTTTGTATTTTTCACAGACACGCAGTGGAGTGAAACTTGATGACTACTTGTTAGCTTCTCGTGATTCATATGTAATTGCAATTGGTCAGTTTTGACGTTCTGTGACAAAGTTAACCACATTTAATATAGCTTTGTGAAAGTACCATACATTTCCTCGGTGAGCAAATCCATAAATTGTTGGAATTCCATTAAAAATGTTTTAGATATCACTGTGATAGTGTGGCCAGGCCCTAAAAGTGTCATGAATAAATAAACCACCACTATATGTGCATATGCATAATCACGGTACCTCCACTCGTATCTTGCATTTCCATGTGTACCAGATCGGGGTCCACATCCACACCTGATACTGACCTGGAATACACAACAGAATAACATGAGTTAATGACGTTTGTGCTAGAAAACAGTACATCAAGTCAGACTATATTAGAACTTAAACCACATAACACCTTCATTTAAGATTGTATTTAAGGAAGCACAGTGAGAAAAAAAAATGTCTCATTATAATTATAGAATATAATTCTGTACCTACTGTATGGACTCACATCCAATGCAAGGGTGCATTGCCAAAACAGTTGCAAAGCAAAAGCTGGTTGAAGGTGGGGATGGCAAATGTCATGTTTTCTTTATCGTGCAAAGATACATTTATTCACTGGCATTGACCAAATATAAAAGGTCACAACCTAAAATTGGGGGTTTTGCATCATCATCCAATATCAACTATCATGTCTGAGCATACAGTTTTAATATTTAGTCTTGAGGTAACGCAATTCTGCTCCACTGTCACTTTGTCTGCTGTTTCTTGTCTTAACAGATGGTAGAACTACACAGAGCTATCCGACTCAAGATAAATACATATCTAACCTAAAGGCAGATCTTTAGCTGATAAATAATATATTTAAAAACAAAAATGAACAGGGTTTAAATGCTAGATCACAGCACACTTATCCTTTGGTCCCTTTTGATGTACTCAGCCTTGCCTGATATGTTTTAAAACCTCCAAAATTGTTTACCCCCTTTGCCTTCTCCGAAGAACACCATCATAATGTATACTATAGTTCACTGTGTGCCCTTCAGTGAGCAGTAAACTAAGCAGTTCATCTGATTAGAACTCTGTGGAGCAGTCTGTGAAATCTCCCCAGCCCAGTAAAGATTGAGCCGAAATGTAAAACCTCGTTACTTTGCCTATAAAGACTTTTTACGAGCAATTAGCAGGCCATGGAGGGACGCGAGAGGATGAATCACAGGAAGTGCGACAGGATGACGGTCCAGTCTTAAGCTCACTGGTTTATTTAAATCAAAAAGTTCAAGCGATGCATTTGACTTTAGTGAGTGACCAACAGAAAGTCAGGATTTCTTAAAAGCTTCGCGGGTGACATTACCAATAAAAATGTAGCTGATGTACTTTATATAACACTTTAAATATTTCATTTTATAGCAGGTCATGATTACAAGGCTATTCCCGAAGACTTTCTTTTTATAGATCTAGTTTGAATGGCACATGATCATGACCATCACGAATAAATAATGGCCACACAAAATCCCTTTCACTGGTTTTGTTTCCAAACTATACAGGCTAATTCCTTGTAAATTATAAAATGCACATAAACAGAGTGTTTAACAGTTCATTGTAAACACAGTACTGTATGTGCATTTGACAAAGCTGGCCATGCTTCTGCAACAATGTACACTAGCATCTCAACGATATGAGAAGAATATTGAGAGTACAATGATCAATTCAATGAATGTGAAAGTCAAGGTTTCTGTGAAAGCCTTATTTGATTCCACGCATAGGGCCAAAGCTTCAAGGACTCTAATTATTTTATTTGACAAGGCTTTATTAACTGTGTTTTACGCAAATCGCAAACTCCTTTTAAGGAAAAACTTTGTGCTTAGAATGTGGGAGTAACTCCAAGTTTGCTAAGAGAGAAAGTTACATAGACAGAGAGTGTGTGTTTGTGCATTTGAATGACTATATGTATATCTAGCTGGCAACCTGCATATTAATGTGAAGGAGGTTAGCTCCTAAGGTAGTGACAACAACTGCTTAGGCTCACTTAAGGCCGGCTGACCTTGAAGGTGGACCAGCTTGTCAATTTGAAACCACTCCTCTAAAATATTGCTTGATGTTTTTCCCATATATTTGCAAAATAAATAATGAAAAATATGAAAGCTGAAGGTGAGGTATTCCAATGTAGTGGGATGAAGCAGCCTTAACAATTAAGAGGCTGGAACCACAGAGTATACATATAAAATACATACACACTTAATGTTTTACCTAGCATTTATATTTAATTGCCTATACTATTCAAACTTTACAGCCCAGAATCACTAAAGCAAGGTCCAAAGGAAAACATCGGGTCAGGCGTACCCACCAGCAGAGTGGTTTTAATAGAAGATTTATTTGTATTTGAGCTGGCTGACAGAATCTTATCCTCTTGTTTTATGAGCGTTAGGTCGTGGAAAGGCCGCGGTTTGGGCCACCCTGTCTGCACAACTTTAAAGCACATTTATGTACAGGCATGTCTGCATCTCTTCCCTTTTACAGATGGAGCCGGTCACAACCTTACCGAATGTTGTGAAGGTCTGAATACATGTGTGTATCCTTAGCCGAATAAAATACAGCCATATGTGGGTCAAATTCAGAGTAGCAAGGATTAAATGTACACTATAAAGTAATCATTTGATCTTCTGGTTCGGACACGGTTTGAGCCAGACCATATAAAACATGTGTTTTATTAAGGCTGTAAAGTCGTATGCCTATGACACAAAAACAGGGTGAAATCCTTGTTAAAATGGAGGGAAATTCACAGTAAATCAAGACATTAGTGTAACATTCCTTCATCTTACAGCCACGATTCTTAGTGTCATATTTGAATTTCACACTTTCTTGTGATCTGCAAATCAAACTTCACCAATATTGTGTTCTTTTAACTTATTCAAAATAGCTAAAATCCTTTTCAATTCAAGCTGGATTTTTGTAATGTGTTTTTGGGAGGCCTGCCATGTGCTAAACATCTGCAAATAGATCAGAATGCTACAGATATCCTAACACAAACGGGAACATTCAACCATATTTGACAAGTTTTGGCAAACCTTCAGACTTAGAGCTTCAGATTTCTTACACATTTTTTAAACGGACATGCCCTTTTGCACTCGTTTGATTAACCTCATATTCCAAGGAGGACTCTTAGCTATCAGGGCAGATTAATTCATAAATTGTCCGATTACCCTGGAATAATCTCCAAACAGATTTTGGACAGTCGGATTCTATTGAAGTCTTTAAAAGCAATCTTAAAATCCTTTACATGAACTTTAAAGGAATTGCTTGTTCTTTCATTGTCTAGCTGGGGGGGTAATTATCAGCCTTGATGTAGGATTTAAAGTCTAGTTGGTATAGACCTTGTTTATCCTGCCAGACAGGATAATATTTACTTTCTGATACTTACTGAATAATAATCCTATGTTTGTTTGTGTCCCACAAGCACAGCTGTGTACCCTCCTCTCCCTGGGTTTGTTTCATTCTCCTGTGTGTAAAATGACTTGCTTTTGCTTCTTCTTGTAATGTGTGTAGGCAGTCTGTCTCTTTCAATGGTACATGGTGGAGAGGACATTTTGTGGGTTACGATATAGCTATTTCATAAAACTTTATTTTTCTTACATTATATGTACAGTATAGGTTTTTGTCATTGGTTTGTCTTCACTTTAATTTAAATATATAGATAATTATGTTAAAAAAAAAGAATTCCCTCCTCAGTTCTCTCTGTGGGCATTTAACTTTTCGCTTTATAGGTTTTTTTGTTAATGAGTTTTCCTTATCCTAAGTGATAAAAGGGAGTCATAAGCTCTACAAGCCTCTGAAGGCACATTTCTGATATGTGACATTGGGCTACACGAATAAAATGTACTGAAATGAGTAAGACATGCAAAAAAGTTAAGGAGAAATCAGAGGATGAAGGACAGGAGTTATAGCGCAGAACCTGATAGAAAATAAGATGAAGGCGAGAATGAGGAGGGGGAGCATTAGAAGAGGAAGCTTTCAAGCGGTGAAGAATTACACGTGCAGGAAAATAATATACAATGTGGGTCCTTTCACTGCCAGAGGAACCACAAAACTACAAGAGATGAATCTATAAAGAGGTTCTGCTGCATAAACTCCTGCACTTACGCCCAAAATCCAATTCAAATTTCTACTCCAAGACAAATTGGAGCGGAAGTTTCTTGAATTATGGTTACTATAAAGCGGATTTATTATTACCTGGGATAAAGCTGCTCGAGACACAATCATATTCTTTGAGCAGTTATATTAAATTGTAACAAAAAAGGATCAGAATATTGTCTAAAAATGAACCCAATTACTCAGCAGGGGATCAAATGTTTTGACAAAGCGGGGAACTAAAGAAAAGTTTCAAACACTTGGAAATATGTGTATTAGCTTCAGTGCGAGGACAGGTTCGATACCACTGAGTTAAAGACCTGGTACCGAGATTGTGTTAGCCTAGCTTAGCATAAAGACTGAAAGGAGGGGGGGAGCTTTGTCGAAAGATTAAAACTGCCGATCAACAAAAATAAAGTTGCCTTACTTACACAATATATCTTGTTTTTATCCCCCATTCAGGACCTTAGTGTAAAACAAGTCTAACAGCTCTATTGGTGCTGTGTTTTCACATTGTGTTACTCAATCATCCAGAGAGCGACATGATTTAGGAGGAACAGCTGTTCCAAGGGATTTCACCAAGTGAGACCTACTTGTTGCCTGATTAAAATAAAAGCATCAGCATACTGATACGCTTACAATGACATAGCCTCACTGTCTTTGGGGTGTTTTGAAAGAATTTGCTAATTGGCAATAATACAAAAATAAACAGCTGAGCTGTCTGAAGGTGATTGGTGTTCAACTGTAGTAGTTGTGGAGAACAATACAAAAGTTAAGGGATTACCAAGGTGATTGCAATTCATCCTGAGAAGGACATGGTCGTCTTAAGCATATTCCATGGAAATCAATCAAATAATTGTCGGATTCACTCAAAAACACATTATGTAAACCTCTTGTTGGTGATGAAGACAGGTGAGCATCGAAGTTATTAGGATTCAAGGTTCAAGGTTCTTTATTGTCAAACTAACATAGCTACAGAGTAATTATGTCGTTGAAAATTTTAGGTCACAGGCTTCTCCAACAATGCAACATTCTGCATGTATAACAGCTTTTATCTATTTGTCCAATTTGTCTGTGTAGCAACATCTGCAGTCCTGTTTACCAGACGCTTTATTCTTGGTCTCGGTACAGGCACAATAGTTTCCAACCCAGCAAACCTCATTATTTTTTAAAAGACAGTCGACAGTGGTCCGCTGTCATTTGCCAAGAATTTGTGAGCATGTAATTCCCCATGAAATTACAGATCTCATTTTAACATTCAGTGAGTTTTAAAGTTAGGTTTTTTCTACATTGGGAGAATAGTTGATTCCTCTGACTCCAGCTTAACACTCAAGCATTAGATTGATATTGATCTTCTCATCGTTTTTTAAATGCTGAACTATTGACTTTAAGACCTCAAGGGGTGATGATTCTCGTTTGTCTTATGTACTGTATCAAAGATGTTTTTAAAGACAGATTCACTAGACATGAGGGAGTTTTACCTTGCCTTTTTTAAATAAGAAAGAATCATTGTTACTTTACTTTTACTATACCTCTCATTTCTTATCTTACTCTAACAAAACCAAGACTTGTGCCCGAGAGCAAGGTAAAATACCTCACCTGCTAACAGTAAGTGCTTTCTACTGAACCATGTGTTGCTGCTTTGCACATGTATGTGTCAATGAAGAAGACAGCTGATTCATCAATAATGAGAGAATACAGTTGGACTGACCAGAAGACTTTGTCCTTGGTCACCCGCTCCTGAAGCAAAGTCCACTTGCGACCCAGGTCTGTAGAAGCAAAGAGCTGGACACGAAAAACAGAGAAAAAGACACAATTAGACATTACAAAATAACTCATAGCATGTAGCATTAAATGATAAAGCCTTACCACCAGCTTTAAATTGGAGCATAAATCAGGTCTATTTGGAACAACCCAGTTCATCCAATCAAGCTACCAAATTTCATGGTTCACAAAATAAAGACTGAGCTCAATTAATTATTAATCATAGCAGGTCTGTGTGTGGGGCTAATATTTTGTAGCAATGTGTCAGTAGTGCTTGAATGTGTTGCCTGAGCTCGTGCACCATTGATCGCACCATTTGCACTCATAATGAAAGTCTATTGATCTCTACACACAGGGTATCCTTGATGCCTCAAAAGCCCATTGGAGCTAGGAAAAGTATTTCGCCACACAAAATTCATCTACCATTCAAAAACACAAACACTTTCTCAACGATGAGCATTGACAGAGGTTTAGTTAAGGCGCTAAATCCTGTCTGCATATTGCTCATACCAACCTTTCTCACTCAGGCACAGGATATCTGAGTCATCAATTCAATATTAAAGACATTTGAACTGTGAATATCCAGATTTGAAGCTATAGCTGATAATAAAATAAGTCGCTGCTCTCGCAAAACTTCTTAATTTACACATGCTGCAGTGCGTCCTATCATTCTCTAGCTAAATTAATATTTTGTTCTGTTTGAATGGATTCTCGTCTTCCATCTACAGTCGGCCCATATGGAACAGATTAAAAACGAATTGAATTCCTTTTTAATTAGGTGTAAATTATTAAACTTGAGGAGTTGAAATGGCTCAAACTTATGACATTTTGGATCTTATGTCCCACCAACAATTTCCATTTTAGAGTAACATTTTCCATAAGGAGGCGTGTGAATGTGTTTTAATAACAGACGTGTCAAAGTTGTAAACTGTGGATTGTTTTTGTATTCTTTACCATAACTGCGGTCATCTTGCAGCTCTTTTTCTACAGTGCTGTAGGCTTGGATGTGTCACAGACTGAATTATTTCAATGGCTCCCGGCAACAAGACATAAGTAATACAGTAGGACCGCAGTGTGAGGTTTCAGTCGTTATGTTTGCTCTGGACGTACTGCCATGTTAGAACTAAGAAAGCAATTAACTCCACCGTGTAGCAGAGAGGGATTGGGGAAAACAGCATTGTAGGACACAGAGATCCATGTAGCAGAATTATTATCTAATATACAATTGTGCATTAACCATGGCTCATTAACCAGCAACTGAGTATCCACCATCACGGAATGATTATCTGTATTAATTAGCCAAACATTACAATTACACTTAGAGTTTAGCTTTAATTTCAAAGTCAAAACACCGCAGTGAGGCATTTAAATGCAGTCTGGTGATGGGAATAATTACTATCGTAGTCTTGGTTGGTGTTGGTACTTATTTGTAATTATTTTTACTATTATTGACAAAAAATAAGGGGAATATGGCGGCTGCGCTAAGGAACTTTATTTAACATTTGATTTGTTTTAAATATTTAAATGTTTATTTATGTATCTTGATGCCTTTTTAATATATGTCTTTTGCACAGCACTTTTAATTACTTTATTTATCTGTGCATTGCTTTGAACAAATCCCCAGTTTAGTTTATAGTGAATTACCCATGCATGTCAGAAATTGAACAAAAGTGATATTGGTTAAAATAAAGCAAGAAAGGAGTAAACACACATGGACATAAATGTGTGTTTGTTGCATCTAAATCTAGACTTTCTTTTCAAAATGTTTAAGATCTTACTACTGAAAGTCAAGTATGATGGCAACATGCTGTTGTTGAAATGAAATATCAATGTGCGTGTACTTGGAATAAAAATGTTTGGTTTACTTCATGTGCCCCACAGCTGTATTTCTGTATGGCAAATCAAACATGGAGTTTCCTCTGATGTTCGTGTTCTGCTGGTGCGTGTGGAAATTGGAATTTAATGCATTGCTGCTCTGACAGCTTGTGTATCATCACTGCCGTTGTTGTTCATTCCTTCAGCCTCAGAAGCAGCTATTTTATTCATAGTGCTGCAGCGCTTTGAAACCCACCCTGCCCTCCTTGCAGTAGGCCAGGAGCTTGTCTTCTTCCTTAGGGTGGAAGACGAGCGTGTCAGGGGTGAACGAGATGGACTGTCGCTGGAAGGAGGAACCTTCGTCTGTGCTGATGAACAGCATTTGATCCCTTTCATTTATGGATGAACCCACCAGCACCACCTAAAAGATTCACAGAGGAGAAAGGAAAGAAAAACAAGGTCAGAGGTCAAAGGGTGTTTTCCTCAGAGGAAACAGTTGAATATAAATGCATATGTTGACGCCCATTCACTGCGCAATAAGAACTTTCCATCAGGCTTACACACTGCTTAGACCGAGGTGACACTGTATTGATTATCAATTTAGTTTTATAGCTCATAAAGTGAAGGTATTAAACATGGGGCACACTAGGACTCTCCAAACCACCCATCATAATTATGTCAAGGGCACCCAGAAGTAAGGACACTGATAAGCGTGATCAATAGGCACTAATGAAGCAGTCATTTATTAGGAGTTCATGAATGGCGTGAAACTGTCCAATGAGGTGTGTCTGTTTATCCTCCTCACATCTTATATTATAGAAATTGTTTTGAATTGCTTCATTCAACAAAATAATTAAAATAATTTGTTGGAGGCTGGGTTCTTTATAAACATGTGTCATCTTGTTGCCAAGGTTGAGATAACTTGAAGCATTAAAGAGACTATGAAAGGAACATTAAAGTGGAGCTTTAAATGATTATATAAGATCACAAATAAAGCATGCATAGAAATGATCACTTCAGTATTTATGGGCGGCTGTTGCTCAGGAGGTAAAGCAGGTCGGCACATGTTGTCTTTATCTGGTAAGGTTGGAAAAGCGCTTTTTAATTACAGGCCATTTATCCTTCATGCTAAGGCATTATCTCTTTGCAACAGTGCATGAAATCGGGGTTAACGCTTCTCTCGGATTTATATTTATTATAGCAATGGGGTTGTACGAGAACATAAATTGTTCTGAAAGAATTCAAGTAGTTGTTAGTGATTAAACATGAGAGATTTGGCATGTTTTTTCATCTCTACTGTACGACTCTACTCCACTATATGTAGTTAGTCTTGAATTTTAGGTCAGTTGTACCATAAAATGTATCAAATTCCTACTCGCCACTGGAACCCTATTTTATCTACTATATTAGATAAACAAAATGAATTTGTATGCATTTAGACACAAAGCTAAGTAAGCACACACACAAACACACACACAGACCCTTTTCAGTATTCTAATCATGACTGCAGTGAGGCGGCGAGCATAGCATGGCCCACATCTTGCTGGCTGCACTACTTGAAAGCTGTGTGTGTGTGTGTGTGTGTGTGTGTGTGTGTGTGTGTGTGTGTGTGTGTGTGTGTGTGTGTGTAACTCTTTCTTCTTCTGAACACACTTCCCTGAGCAACATGGTCAATTAAAGGCCTGGCGTTTGTTTGGCTGCCAGAGGGGGACCTACAAGGACAAGCAGTGGGGTGGTAAAGAAAGACGAGCAGGAAATAAGAGGCAGAGAGGAATGTATTATTTCTCTTCACATAAGATGTGTTATCATGGTTCAGTGCCTTGCTCAAGAGCACTTGTTTGTTCAGAGAAAGCAGAGCTCGTGTAGTGTATTTAGGGATTAAAAATCCCTGTGATATATTAAGAATTTAGGATAAACTGCTGTTGGACGTATACCTAAGCTATGATAAGAAGTAGGAAAAAGTACGTATTCTATTACAAAATGGGGATTCATTAACATAAATAGCAAGGGCTTTGTCTATAACTGTATCGACCATAACCCTAACCCATAACCTGGAAATGAATTAGCATTATACCACCTCTGGTTTGTAAAAAGACAATGTTTTTTTATATGATATATGGCTGACTTACGGGCTGTTGTTCACACAAATGTAAGATTTTTTCTATGACATAAAATACGTCGCTAATGTCTTGAGCTTATATAGCTCTTACAAATGGTTGTTGCTAACAAGGGACTAAATAAGACCTAGCCTCTCCGTGGTGCAGAGCAGCCATGCAACCCTGATGTTGTTCATTTATAGCCTCACGTTAGCTTTTTGCCTCTGGAGCTTGCACTTAGGCTTCAGAAATCACCAAAGTTCTGTTGATATCTGGAGGCACCCTGCTGATAGAAAGGCACAAGTATCAGAAACACGTGTTTGTTAATGATCTTATTTTCTGCAATATTCTAATAGTGTTTTTTTTTGTCGAGGGACACCTTTTGGTGCCGGCTTCCGGATCGGCCTAAACAAATATGTCATCACTGCAACACTGTATAGAGAGGTTATTTGTTCTTGTTGCACATGTCTAACTGTGGCTTCTCTCCATGTCCCTGTGGGGCAGCAGCATCAATCCGGTCAGCCTGCCTCTGCCAATATGTCTCTGTTTAAAGGACATCACTCAGTTTAACCTAGTTGAGCTCTGACAGCTTGACATCCTCAGGACACACACATACACACACACACACACACACATACACACACACACACACACAGACCACCCACATTATATCACCACTGACACAACATGTACACACTAGAAACACCTGGAAGATGTCATGTTTATGTGGCATGACTGTCTGTATAATGTATGTGTGAATCCAAGTTCAACTATTTGGATATCAGGATTTTATTTAAAGAAGTATAACCATGTATGTCACTCTATGCATAATTAAATCAGACCCACTGGCCCGTAAGACCCTGAAATAGCTGTACTATATCCACACAGTGCACAGGACATTTTTCCACAGTGGATGAGTCGGTCCCTAATGCGCCACAGACATTTTACAAACGTGAAGATCTATGAAATTCACAGCGGAAGGGCATTTTTATAAGACGATTACATTTGACTACGTTTGGCTATGGAAATAGCAAAAAGTAAAGTGTGCCTGGGAATGTTGAGAAAGCATTTTGACGCTGTTGCTTATTAGTTAAATATGTGGTTTTCCAGTTAATAACCAAACCTAAGACAAACTGAATGACACTGTTTTAAATTGTACCATCTACACCGATAAGAGATGTTTGCATGCATGTATGTAAAACACTGTAAAACAAGCAATGTTTTTAACAGTTAAACAAAAGTGTGTTGCTCTATTCTCAGAGGCTTAAAGATTCTGGAGTTTGCATTTAGCTTGTATGTCTGTCAGCTGGCAGGTTGCCAGTATTATAGGTTACATCTGGATCAGTCCTGTCTGACGCCTACATTATTATATTTTCCAACAACTGGAAGATATATGGCATCTTCCTGAAAGGTCTATGTTGTTTTTTTATGTACACACGACATCTAGTACGTCTGTCCGTTTTGGTCGATCTCCCCTAGGTTTCTTCCATTTGTTCCTCTTTAATATTGGGCTTCTTTGGGGAGAATTCCCATGTGTGCTGTGAGGGTCCAAGGAAAGAGATTGTTATATCCTGTATACATTGAGACTAATGTGTAATTTGTGATATTTGTCTTTATGAATAAATAATTTGATTTACATGAGCAAAGCATTGAGAATAGATGAGTGGTACAATTGTTTCCTTACTCCCTTTTTGTGTCACATCTTAAGATCCACTAATGTAAAAAACACGTCAAACTGAATGACAATATTGGTTATTCTTCCATTGGAGAGTCAAAATTCAGAAGATCATTAAACACTAAAATAAATAAAACATGCTGAAATAATGAAAGCTTTGAGTACGTTGCAAAAATGCTTTGACTCACAGTTTCCAGACGCAGTAACGTGACTTTCCAACAAGGGGCACTCTTGTCAAACTGTGAGAAAGTGAGCCTGTCTATGAATATTCCTAATAGAAATGGAGCTGGATTGAACAATTTACAGATAAAAGTGTGACTTTTTTTGCGGAAGTTCCAACAGGATTGGAGGAGGGCAACCAGAAGCTATAATGCCTCTCCTGCAGCACAAGTCGTGATCCTCAGCAATCAGAAGACTCTAACACACTCTTCCTCTGTAACGATTTCCTCTGAGTAATAACTCAATCTTTGCGAAGCAGTGATGCTATTGTGCGAGGCAGATAAAAGCAGCCCCTTAACTTCCTGCGTCTGCTCTGGGGACTGTGGGGGCGTGCCACATTACGGGGACTTAAAGAACCAAATATCAGCTCTTTTTAATCTGTAAAGGGATTAAACACCAGTGCGGCTCTGCAGAGCGCACGTCGAATCAGTGCCCGTTTGATAATCTTTCCGATTCGAGTCAATCTGACTGAGGGGGCAGATCGCTGAAGACACACAAGTCATGCTGTGTTGACACACACACTTAGCAGCTTAAAAATAGTTTGTGGCGGATTGCCTGCGTGCAGTTGTAGTACGAACGGCATGAAGGTCTGCGGGCCAGAGGAGGATAAGAATGTACATTATCTCAGCATCGCATGTCACAGCTTCCAGCAGAATTGATCATGAGAAGGCTAACATGATACACACATATGCACAGATGTAGCAGTATATCAGATACACCTGGAGAGTATAAAATATGTACATTCATGAGCACACGAAGATTATATAACTTGGACTGATGAGGCCTCCTGGTATCATACGTTAGATTTTGAAAAGCTCTAAAAGGGCTTGTCTATTATTTGTTCAACACCAACAAAAAGCAGATTAGTCCACCATTCTGTGAAGCCACTAACTGATTTAAAAGATGGAAAAAAACAACAAAAATAATTCAGTATGATCCTCATTGTCATTGCCATCTGAGTCCAAGCACGTAAACACACACACATGCAAATGCATAACAGTAGCTACATGCAGCGAGCGGCTGCAAGCACAATCGCTTTCCACTCAATTACATATGTAAATTGCTCGGGTTTTTGGTTTCCACTGTGAGAGGGTCTTGTGTGATAGCAGCGTATTGAGCTGTGGTCTGTGGGGAATTAAAATGTGGAAGCGCGGAGCAGCATGGGAGCCCAGAGGACACCAGCAGGCAGCGTTTGGAAGTCGTTTGATGTTGGAATGTCTCGCCATTTCTATGGAAACGCAATACTTTCTGGTACCAACGTGTGGAAAGGGGTTATAGAATAGAAACTCTGCATCTGTTATTGTTTCAATCAGTATTCTCTGATTCAAGCCACAATTTCCGGGTTTGTCTGATTTCAGAAGTTCACAATTGAGCAATGATTGACAAATGATCTGACAAACTGACCTCTACACAGAACACCCTAGATAGGTA